CCATAACAACAGCAATAACAAATTACATTTGTATAGTGCCTTTCACGTCGGGAGGATGTCCCAAATCACTGCTATATAATATAGTGTTCCTATATGGACTCCTATAGCATAATGGTTAGAGCACTCGCCTCGCAAGCAAGAGGACCCGGGTTTGATTCACGGGCAGGACGAAACATTAAGCAAGCTTCCTTCCTCCACACGCCACTGTTTACCAAGTGATCGATTGGCGGATCGCTTTTGGAGGGGTAATAATTGCTTAAAAAAATTATAATAATAATTCAGTCACTCAATCCACGATTGTTTGTCGCCACTATTGGCTTCTCCTCCAGTCCCCACACAATCACATGTGACGTCCCTCAGGTCGCTTGACTTGGTCCTCTCCTTTTCAATATCTATATGCTCCCCCTTGGTAACATCATCCGCAGACATGGGGTCAACTTCTACATGTATGCGGATGATACCCAACTCTACCTCTCTGCCTCCACCCTCGATTCCAGGACCACTGCTCTCCTCATAGCCTGCCTATCAGACATCAAGTCCTTGATAAGAGCTAACTTTCTGCAGTTGAATATCAACAAGACTGAGGCCCTCCTGCTTGGCTCCTGTCAGAGCCTCCGTTCCTCGGGCGCTGACATCAGTCAGGAGCAGAGGCAGGAGAGCGAGGGGCGGTGGGGATAAAAGCCACAGCGAGGAGAGCAGTCAGCCAGTCAGGAGCAGAGGCAGGAGAGCGATAAAACAACAAGCGACCAGCAGGAAAATTAAAAAGTGACGTCAGAGCGACGTCACAATCAAAATATTCTAACAGCTCACACTAACTACTAACTAACAGCAAACTAATACTAACTACTAACTAACAGTAAACTAACACTAACTACTAACAGTAAACTAACTGCTAACAGTAAACTAACACTAACTACTGACTAAAAGTAAACTAGGACTAACTATTAACTAACAGTAAGCTAACACTAACTACTTACAGTAAACCAGCACTAACTACTAATTAACAGTAAACCAGCACTAACTACTAATTAACAGTAAACTAACACTAATTACTAACTAACAACACTAAAAATAAAATATTTTTAAAAAAAAGTTAATTAAGAATTTAACTTTTAAAAAATAACAATAATAAATTAAATAAAACTTTAATTCACAGTGGGGGGAGAGGTGACAATGGCGAGGCAGGTGTTGTGTGAGGACTGTAACATGTGTGAGTTGCTGGAGGGCAGTCTGAGCCCCCGCAACCACACCTGCAGCAAATGTCTGCAACTGAGGCAGCTCCAGCTCAGAGTGTCTGACATCGCAGACATTGCGCAGCATCAGGGACAGTGAGTGCTTCCTGGATAGTTTCATCCTGGAGCCAGTCACTCCCCTGAGGCTCAGGGAATGTATAGATACTAGTATCAGCCAAGGACAGGATAGGGTGTCTGACAGGCAGGAGGTTAAGGGAACACCAGAGAGAGTGGCAGTGAAGCCTCAGGCTTTAACCTTGGCCAACAGGTATGAGATCCTGTGAGGAGGAAGGAAAACGTGATTGCAATATTAGGGGAAACAAACAGAAAGTTGTAGTAATTGGGGATGAGACTATCAGGCGGACAGATACACTTATCTGCAATCACAACCGGGAGACCCGAAGGCTTTGTTGCCTTCCTGGGGCCGGGGTGAAGGACGTCTCAGCGGGGCTGGAGGAGAAACTAAAACATGAGGGCGAGGATTCATTAGCGGCACTTCACATAGGTACCAATGACATATGTAAGGCATAGTTGTGATGATTTGAGGAGGGAGTTCAAGGAGCTGGGAACTAAATTAAAACAAAGAACATCAAAGGTAGTGATATCATGATTGCTGCCTTTGACATGTGCAAATTGGTACAGGAATAAGCAAATTAGAGAGTTAAATGCATGGCTGAGGGAATGGTGCGGAACGCAGCGGTTTCATTTTATGGATCACTGGCACGAGTATTGGGGTCAAAAAGATGGGCTCCACTTAAATCAGCTTGAACAAATGTACTAGCAAACCGAATACATAGGGAGGTAAATAAAGCTTTAAACTAGTAAAGGGGGGGTGGGGGGATACAATTAGAAATAAGAGCAAGCCAGCAATATTAAAAAAACTAAAGGTGGCAGAACAGAATAGTGAGAGATAAACAGAATAGGTCAAAGAGGGGTAAGAAGCTTAGTAAAGAAGATAGGGCATCAGAGAGCAGGGGAAATGGTAAGAAATTAAAATCGCTATATCTGAATGCACGAAGAATAATTCGGAATAAGATAGATGAATTAAAGGCACAGGTAGATGCAAACAGGTATGATCTAGTAGCCATTACTGAGACATGGTTACAGGGAGATCTAGGCTGGGAGTTAAATATTCCGGGGTTTTCATCTTATAGGAAGGATAGACAATGTGGAAAATGAGGTGGGGGTGGGTAGCCTTGTTAATAAAGGATGGAATAAAAACAGTAGAGGAAGGATTTCAAATCAGATAACCAGGATGTAGAGACCGTATGGGTAGAATTACGAAATAACGAGGGGCAGAAAATATTAGTGGGAGTAGTTTATAGACCCCCAAACAGTGATCACAGAATAGCATAGGGTATTAATCAAGAAATTAGAGGAGCATGTAGTAAAGTAATAGTGGGTGATTTTAATCTTCACATAGATTGGGAAAACCAAATCGGCAAAAGTAGGGTAGAGGAGAAGTTTATAGAATGTATGAGAGATAGCTTTCTGGAGCAGCATGCCGAGCAACCAACTAGGGGACAGGCCACCCTGGACCTTGTTTTGTGTAACGAAACAGGGCTAGTCGGTAATATAGATATTAAGGCTCCTCTAGGGCAGAGTGATCATAACATGATAGAATTTAGTATTAAGTTAGAGAGCGATGTAATCAAATCCGAAGCAAGGGTCTTAAATTTAAATAAAGCTAACTTTGCAGGTTTGAGGGAAGAATTAGCTAAAATAGACTGGGGAATTAGATTAATGGATATGACAATAGACCAACAGTGGCAAATGTTTAAAGATGTAGTGCAAAATTCTCAGCGGTCATATATTCCCTTGAGGAATAAGAGTACCACAGGGAAAGCAGTGCATCCGTGGCTAACTAGAGCAGTTAGAGAAAGTATAAAACTAAAAGAAAAGGCCTATAAAACTGCCAAAAAGAGTAGCAAACCTGAGGACTGGGAGTGTTTTAGGGACCAACAAAGGAAAACCAAAAAGCTCATTAAGAGTGAGAAAATGGATTATGAGGGCAAGGAATGCTAGGAACATTAAGACAGATTGTAAGAGATTTTATAAATACATTAAGAGGAATAGGCTAGCAAAAGTAAATGTGGGTCCATTACAGGCAGAGACAGGAGGAATTATAATGGGGGATAAGGATATGGCAGAGTCCCTAAATAAATACTTTGCTTCTGTCTTCACGTTAGAAGACACAAGAAGTTTACCAGAAATAGAGATGAACCAAGAGGCTAATGATAGGGAGCAACTTAGGGAAATTTACATTAGCAAAGAATTGGTGCTTGGGAAATTGTTGGCATTAAAAAGTGACAAATCCCCTGGACCTGATGGTTTGCATCCTAGGGTTTTAAAAGAGGTAGCTCATGAGATAGTGGAGGCCTTGTGTCTGATCTTCCAAAATTCTTTGGATTCTGGAACGGTTCCCATTGATTGGAAGATCGCAAACGTCACACCACTATTTAAGAAGGGTGGGAGAAAAAAGATGGGGAACTATAGATCAGTTAGTCTGACATCGGTGGTAGGGAAAACTCTAGAAGCCTTAATTAAGGATGTCGTAGTGGGATACTTAGAGGATCACAATATGATTAGACAGAGTCAACATGGCTTTACAAAAGGGAAGTCATGCTTAACAAAGCTTTTAGATTTTTTTGAGGACTTATCAAGTAGATTAGATAGGGGGGAATCAGTGGATGTAGTGTATTTAGATTTCCAAAAGGCATTCGATAAGGTGCAGCATAAAAGGTTGATTCACAAGATTAGGGCCCATGGAATTAAAGGCAATATATTAGCATGGCTCGAAGAGTGGCTAACGGGAAGAAAACAAAGAGTAGGGATAAACGGGTCCTTCTCAGATTGGCGGGATGTGACCAGTGGAGTGCCACAAGGATCAGTGCTTGGGCCTCAGCTATTTACAATCTACATCAACGATCTGCCATGGTCCTCCTGTATTCAAAAGTAGGTGTTTCTCTCCGTGTCCGGAAGAAACACGGAGTCCTGTAGCTCAGTGGTTAGAGCACTCGCTTTGCAAGTGAGAGACCTGAGTTCAATTCCAGGCAGAGGGCGAAACCTTGGGCAAGTTTCCTTACTCCACACGCCTAATAATAATCCCTCCAAAATCAAAAACAATAATAAATTGGTCATTTTCAATCTACGACTGTTTGTGGGACATTGCTGTGCGCAATTGGCGTCCGCGTTCGCCCACAAATATACAGTTAATTCACTTTACAGTATATTCTGTGAAGCGCTTTGGGACGTCCTCCCGACGTGAAAAGCGCTATATCAAATGCAAGGATTATTATTATTATTATTAAGAACATTTCTCCAGATTTAATTGGTTGTTCACTTCATGGCTGTTTGTGGGTTATTGTTGCGTGCAATTTGGCTGACGGATTTCGCCCACAAAATACAGTCACTCCACTTTACAGTAAATTCTGTGAAGCACTTTGAGGTGTCGTCTCGACAAGAAAGGCGCTTACAAGCATCATCCGCTGAGAGTGGCAGTGCGTGAGTGGCAGTGTGTGAGTGTGACTGGCAGAGGGTGACTGCCTGGCTGGCAGTGGGTGAGAGTGAGTGGCAGTGGGTGAAGCAGCGTGTGCCCGTCAGCGGGTGTGGGCGAGTGCCTGGCAGTGAGTGTGGGCGACTGCCTGGCAGGCAGCGTGTGCCTGGCAGCGGGTGTGGGCGACTGCCTGGCAGGCAGCGTGTGCCCGGCAGTGGGCGTGGCCTGGGCTGGGCGGGGCGGGGCGGAGGGGGCGGGGCGGGGATTGTGACGCGCTGATTGACGGCAGGAGCAGGGCTGCCCCGCCTCCCGCGCGCCTGGTGTTCAAGATGGCGGTCGCTGCGCTGTGAGCCCCGAGCGTACACTGGCCTCCTACGCGTGTAACAACCAGTGCCGGTGGCCCCGTCCCCCACTGCCGCTCGCCATCATGCCCAACATCGTGCTCTTCAGCGGCAGCTCCCACCAGGACCTCTCGCAGCGCGTGGCCGACCGGCTGGGGCTCGAGCTGGGCAAAGTGGTCACCAAGAAGTTCAGCAACCAGGAGACATGGTGAGTGAGGGAGTGAGTGAGTGACCGTGAGGGACAGTCACCCCGGGGTGGGGGCGGGGGGGAGAGTCACCCCGGGGTGTGGGGGGAGAGTCACCCCTGGGGCGGGGGAGTCACCCATGGGGCGGGGGGGGGGGGCGAGAGTCACCCCTGGGGTGGGGGCGGGGGGGGAGAGTCACGCGGGGGGGGGGAGAGTCACCCCGGGGTGGGGGCGGGGGGGAGAGAGTCACGCGGTGGGGGGGAGAGTCACCCCGGGGGTGGGGGGAGGGTCACCCCGGGGTGGGGGCCGGGGGAGAGTCACCCCGGGGTGGTGGGGGGGGGGAGAGTCACGCGGGGGGGGGGGGAGAGTCACCCCGGGGCCGGGGGGGGAGAGTCACCCCGGGGTGGTGGAGGGGGGGAGAGTCACCCCGGGGTGTGGGGGGAGAGTCACCCCTGGGGCGGGGGAGTCACCCCTGGGGCGGGGGGGGGGGCGAGAGTCACCCCTGGGGCGGGGGCGGGGGGGGGAGGGAGAGTCACCCCGGGGTGGGAGAGTCCCCCCGGGGGGCGGGGGGGGGGGAGTCACCCCGGGGCGGGGGAGTCACCCCTGGGGCGGGGGGGGGGCGAGAGTCACCCCGGGGTGGGGGCGGGGGGGAGGGAGAGTCACCCCGGGGCGGGGGAGTCACCCCTGGGGCGGGGGGGGGGGGGCGAGAGTCACCCCGGGGTGGGGGGGTGGGAGAGTCACCCCGGGGGGGGGGGGGAGTCACCCCGAGGTGGATGGGGGGAGAGACCCTGGAGGGAGATGATGATAATAATAGTCTTTGCATTTGATACAGCGCTTTATCGTATCTTCGAAATGTCTCAAAGCGCTTCACAATACACTGTATAATTTGTGGGTGAAACGCGGGAGCCAATTGCGCACAGCAGTGTCTCCCGACCTGGGGGGGAGAGATAGAAACTGTGGTGAAGGGAAGGGAGAGAGAGGGAGACCCGGGGAGAGAGAGAGGGAGGGGGAGAAAGAGATTGATCCAGTGGGGAGAAGGGTGAGGAAACTAGGGACCATGTAGATTCCAGTGGGGAGAAGGGCCATCAGATAAATGTTAGCTCCAGGACATGGATATTTCTCCCTATGTGTCTATAAATAAATACACAAGTCTATAAATTCCTGTGAGGTGTTTTGAGATACCTCGGCCACACGATGAGGTGTTGTATCAAATGCAAGGATTCTTATTCTTGCATTGCAGGAGTGGCAGAATATAGTTGTGTCCCATTACCATGTGGTGAGTTGGGTATATCAAATCACACCCAACGTTATTACGGGTCAATTGGAAGCATGAGTGCTTCCAGTGGTTGTTGGGACACCTTCAGCACAAGGTGCAAGCCAAACAGCGCCATTAGTGATCCTTTCATGTCTTAGCACCTACCTCTTCTCTGACCTGCTCTTGACACCATTCCTCTGCCCACCCCTTTCTCACCTCACAGTCTCACTGACTCCTCCACATCACCATCTGTGCCTTTCGCAACTATACCCCGAATCTCTTGAACTACCTGCCTCAATTCCTATCCACTTGCTCCCTCTTTATCGTTAATACCCACCTGAAGGCCCATCTCTTTGACCGTGCCTAGGATTCTCCCCTTGACTCGGGGGAGCAGCAACAACAACAAGATTACATTTGTACAGTGCTTTTCACGTTGGGAGGACGTTCCAAGGCGCTGGACAGTGTACAGCATTTCAGACCCGATCTGGGGTCAGGGGGAGATGAGGGGAAGGGGGGGTGACCGATGGCATGGTCGAAGAGGAGGGTTTTGAGACGGGACTTGAAGGAGGCTAAGGAGGGGGCGAGGCGGAGTGATTGGGGGGCAGAATTCCAGAGGTTAGGGGCAGAATGGCTGAGGGCGGGTGCAGGAGCAGGCCAGAGCCGGCTGAGCGGAGGGAGCGGGCGGGTTGGTAGGGGTTTAGGAGGTGACAGAGGTACGGTGGGGTGAGGCCATGGAAGGCTTTGTAGAGGAGGACCAGGATCTTGGAACTGCATCCTCTGAAGGATAGGGAACTAATGGAGTTGGGAGAGATGGGGACACGGAGTTTGGTGCAGGAGAGGACACGGGCTGCAGAGTTCTGGATTATCTGCAGTCTGTAGAGGGAGGAGTAGGGAAGGCCGACAAGCAGGGCGTTTGCATAGTCGAGCCTAGAGGTGATGAAGGCATGAACAAGAGTTTCAGCGGCCTGAGGGGTGAGGTAATGGCAGAGTCGGGCGATGTTACAGAGGTGAGGGAAAGCAGAGCAGGTCATGGCTTGGATGTGGGGAAGAAAAGGCAGTTGAGGGTCGAACAAAATACATCGGCACTCTGAGACAAGTACACAATATAAATGCAAGTTGTTGTTGTTCAACGACTTTGACATCCAATGGGCACCAAGACATTACTGTTTATTGCCCATTGGAGGGAGGGATTGTAAAAGCAGGTTCTATGGATTATAGAGTTCTAATCATGAAGGAAATTTGCTTGATTTCTGTCCCCTCTCAACAGTTAACTTGAAGCTGCCTGAGCTGTTACTAAGTAGCAGAGTATGCAGCCAGTCATTTAAGACTGAAGGGTTTTTTTTTGGTGGAGGATTTTGGAATAATCTACTGACTTCGACTTGGATAAAGTACTTTGCTGATGATTTTGTAACTTTTGTACAAAAGAAGCTTATAACTCTTTTACATGAGTAGACAGCCTACTTAAGTCTGCCAAGTGCGATATGACCTGATCAGTAAAGGTTCCATTCCTTTAAAATTAATTAAGCACAACAAAACTTGGGACACTGCTGTGTGCAATTGGATGTTGCGTTTTGTCCACAAATTATACAGTAACTACACTTTACAGTATATTCTGTGAAGCACTTTGAGACGTCTTGAAGAGATAATAAGGCACTATATCAAATCTAAGGATTATTACGTATTGTATTGGAAAAATTGATTGTGACTAATATAAATGAAAACTGATGCTGAAATAAAAAGATATAAAATGGGCACATTTGAAATGAGTGATCAAAATCTAGAGGAGGAAGAAAGAACTCGCATTTTTATAGTAGTGTCATGTCAAAGTGTCTCAGTGAAAGTACTTCAGATACATTTCAATGTAGTGATTGTTTTTGTAAGATGGATTAATGTATTTGCTCTGAAGCTTATCGCAAACGCTTTCATGGTTATTCCTCTTTGTATAATTGACTTAAGTTTTCTGTAAAAACTATTTGAGTTCATAAGACTTTCTACATACATTAAAAGTGTATTAAAGTTGTAGTTTATACTGCATTGGCAAGTGCGTCGCTGCAGCACTTTGTGAACAGAGACCTGAGTTGGGTTATGTGTCTATTTCTGTGGATCGTGGGTAAATCACTATGTGGCAATGGAGTGTTACTTACTGGCATTTGATTTATACTTCTAGGGATGAAAATGTATTTTCAGCTTTCAGCTTTTTTTTTGGACCTGCGAAATTGAGTGGTGGTACAGTTAGTTACTACAAAATGCACTGATCAATTATACTGCAGCTGATTCAAAGCAAAGCCAGCGCTTGCTGCACTGACAGAAGTCAGTGTTAGCATTATGCTGAGCTGAATCTAACTTTTAAAATATAAGATTAAAGGCCTGTATTTAGAATTAGAGTTATGGTATCGGCATATGTTTTTTGTGCCAAGTTTTGGATTAACTGGACCTTGTGGATGGTGGAACTGGGGCATTCAGTGAGGAGTCAGAGCGGGAATTGACTAAAGCATAGATAAAGGTTTTGGTGGCATTTGGTAAGAAGTGGCGCAGGGGGCTGGCAATGTAGCGGAGGTCAAGGAAAGTAGCTATGGTCAAGGGTTGAAAATGACTTAGGAACGATTGCTAAGGATCAATGTCAAAAGTTGCGTACTGTTTTGATGAGTTTGAGGGATAGGCCAGAGAGGAGCCGTAACGCCCCAAATATCCATTTATCTCGCTTTAAACATCTTAATTGATTCTGCATCTCTAGCAGTACACAAGTATGTCGAAGAAACTTTCCTGACTTTTTTTCTAACGCTGTTAGCACAAATTTTATGATTCTGTCCCTTAGTGTCAGAGCCTTCTGTTAGAGGGAAGTGTCTACTTTGTATCAAGTTTGTCAATCCCTTCATTATTTAAATGATTTTCTATCCATTTTCTAAGTTTTAGTTATTGTGAAAATGCTGGAAAGATGTATGGCATCTTGGTTAAAACAATAGGAAAAATATTATAGTATAGTTACATATTATATTATTATCCTAATCCTTGCACTTGGTTTAGCACCTGTCATGTCTGGAGGATATTTAAAGCGCTGCACGGGATTTATGTAAAGTATAATGGCTGTATTTTGTTGGCCAACGCAGCAGCACATTTGCATGTAGCAATGTCCCACAAATAATCATAAAGTAAATGACCAATTTTATTTGGGGGGCAAACTCCCTTCTCTTTTGAATTGAAGCTCAGTTATTAGCACTCTCATCTCCTTATCAGAAAGTTGTGGGTTCAAGTCCCATATCGGTACTTGGAACTCGTATAGTCTAAGCTGACACTCCAATGCAGTGCTGGGGATATGTAGCATTGTCGGATGTGCCATCCTTTGGATGAAACGTAAAGCGGAGAGATGTTCAGATGGTGAGGTTGTGGTCTTTTTGTTTTTTAAAAAAATACTAAGAAAGTTAACGGTGACCTGATGTAAGTCTGCTGTCGGGACACTATTAAATGATCTTGACTGTACCAAAATGTAGCACTCATTCCTCGTTTTGAGACATGAAATCCTATAGTTTAAAAATAATGCAAGTCTTTTTCAGCTACTTTTAATGCTGTGCTCTGTATTCCTGAATGTCCTTACTTCTGAAGTACTGTACATTCTCATACAGCAGTGAATAGCCTTCTTGTATTCTCATAATACTCTTATCGCTCCTGAATGGCTCAATTGACTGTCTTTCACTTTCTGAAGCAGTCTGCTGTATTCTCGTGATCCTTGCCTAAATGTGTGTCATTTTTCTTAGAAGTAGATGAGAATCTATGAGTTCTATGAACTCTTGGTAACGCCCATTTTTTTTTTCAGTTCTCTTGACCATCCAATGGCTGGCTGATGCATTGAACATTTAAAATTCATTGGGGAATATTAGATTATCGGTAGATAAGCATGGCATTTAAGTGCTGATTATGAAGATTACCGATTTTCAATTAAACATGAATTACAGGAGTTCTGTCCTACCATGTTTTTTGGGGAAAAAAATTATTTGTGGTTTCCAATGTCATTGAAGTATGCCATAATCTTCAAAGTATATTCTTGTATCTACTATCAGCACATAAACGACACTGTTGCAGAATTGTACAATTGGGACATTTTGGAATATGGATTGTCAATAGATAACTTCTTATTAATGTAACATGCATTTTGAAATGCAACAACGGTTAAGATTAGTTTTAATGCCTCATTCAAAATGTAGTCTCAATTGGTTCTGTTCTTGCCTCTGAGTCAAAAGGTTGTAGGTTCAAGCCCCACATTTTGACTTTGAACTCATAATTTAGCTTCACACCATTCATTTCATTGCTGAGGGAGCACTGTATTGTGGCTCTACACTATTCTCCTAGTGTCCTGGCCAACAATTTCCCAAATAAAATTGGTCATTTGTGTCATGGAACAAATGCATATCTAGCATATCTATAACCTTGAATGATGGCTTGAAGCTATAAGACTTTTGTTTAATGAAAAAGCTCTTTGTATTCAAATTTCATTATTCTACTTTGGTGCAAATAATTTTTCCAAGAGTATTGACTCGACTGAAGGTTTTTGTTTCTTTTGCAGTGTGGAAATTGGAGAAAGTGTGAGAGGTGAAGATGTATACATCATCCAGAGCGGCTGTGGTGAAATCAACGATAATTTGATGGAGTTATTGATCATGATCAATGCCTGCAAGTTTGCATCAGCATCTCGAGTCACAGCAGTTATTCCCTGTTTTCCTTATGCAAGACAAGACAAGAAGGATAAGGTACCAATTGGATTGATTTTGTGCTTTCTTTCCCTTTGGGTGATGGGAGAAATCTTTTTTCCCTAACTGCTGAGAAGGTAGTTTCTGCAATATACAGTCAGTTCCTATTATAATGGTGGTTTTGGTCTGTAAAATCAGTCTTGCAATATAACTGTGTTATAAAAATAGCTGTCGGACAGCACCTCTGTTTGTCAGATTGCTGCTGATGTCACAAAACTGCACTGCGTATGAAGCCAGCAAATTACATCAGAGTATTTATTTCCAGCAGTTGCTGGAGGCTTTCTATCTGTCAGATGCTAGAAATTTACAGAACTTCCAGTATGTGGTATAAGGTCCACAGTACAACCGCACAGTCCCATGGTGTACCAAAGTGTGGTGTAACTGGGCCTGATTGCTTTTCCATTTCCATATTTTTGTAGTGTTTAGGTTTCCAGGAACCAATTCGATTTTGCAATTGAGAGTAATTCTGAAAAAACAGACACTTGAACCATTTGTATAAATGCTGTTTTGTGTTTTGTTCATACTTACCAGAGCATAATCATATCTAGAAATTCTCGACAGTTAATATTCAGTGTATGTAAAAGAAAAAAGGTTAGATCATGACAGACTGAGTAATGAAAGCAAATGACTGTGAAATCATGTAAGCATGGTTATCGCTAGGAAGCAATTAGGAATGAGCTTCGTGCACAAGTTGAACAAGAATGCTAAATGAATACTGCAGGATGTTAAAAGGGTAAAAAGCAGATTACATACAATAAATCTCAGGGTCTAATGACCAAAGCAAATGTAATATATTTCCCTCTAGCTACAGAGATGCGGATGGGAATACTTTGGTAACTTGTGTTCCCATTTGCAGCATTATTTAGGGAGAAATATCTATACTAACTACGTTGGGGACTAACTACGTTGTAAGTGTGAAAATAATTTGGTTATCTCCTGAAATACATTTCAGTGGTTTCAATACCTACATTGTTCTCCCACCCTCGCTCACCTCCACTGGCTTCCCATCCCCAGAGGATCGAATTCAAGATGCTCATCCTCACCTACAAGGCCATTCACGGCCTCGCTCCCTCCTACCTCTCTGACCTACTATCCCCCTACCTACCTGCCCGTACCCTCCGTTCCTCTGGCTCCGGTCTGCTCCACATCCCCCGCCCTAACCGCCCTGCCATCGGTGGCCGGGCCTTCAGCCTCTCAGCCCCCAGGCTCTGGAACTCTATCCCCCAGTGCCTTCGCCGCCTCCTCCCTTTCCTCCTTCAAGGCCGGTCTCAAGACCTTTCTCTTTGACTGTGCCTTCAGCTCCTCTCTCGACTCTCTACCCCCTCTTCGCTCCCTTCTCTCCCCTCACCCTGACCATTTCCCCCTTGCTCGGGTCCTGACCCAACTGTCCAGTGCCTTGGAATGTCCTCTCAATGTGAAAGGCGCTCTATAAATGAAATCTTGTTGTTGTGGGGGCAGTTGTGCATTTCGATAATATGAATTACTATTTCTGAATTTTCCTGGTTCCAATCTTGTCTGTCCCAACATCTTCACTATTGTCTCCTCTAATGGGTTTCTCTTTTTCTTCTTATGCACGATCATGCGAGGTGTTCCTTCGATCTGTTTCCTTATTCCTCTTTTATCTACAAACTTCCTTCTTGGTCACATTCATGTAGATAACACCCAACTGTACCCTTGACTTCAAGACTGCTGGTGGTCCTGACAGATTGCCTGTCAGTTATCAACATTTATCAGCTCATGACATATTTACCTGATGTACCAAAGTGGTTTCTGTCATCAGATCATTAATGGGCTGGTATATTTTACCAGTACTTCAAGTCATGCTTTACATTTTTAATCCATCCTGTACCCCCATTCTCTTTCGAAGACATTTTTTATCTTGTTTTTTCCTGCACTATCCTCAACCCATCTAGTCCCTCTATTCCTGGTATGAAAGACATGACAGCCTGTTATGGGCTGTTCTATAAATTTCCTTGAAAATTTGATCAGAGTAGATAAAGAGCAATATGCTGCTCCCTACTTAATTCAGAATACATGTAACAATATCTCCCCATTTACAATACCTTGGATGTCTGGGAACCTGCTTGGTTTATACTACATCTATACTACATACAGTCAATTCACTTTACAGTGTGTTCTGTGAAGCGCTTTGGGACGTCCACCTGACGTGAAAAGCGCTATATCAAATGCAAGGATTATTATTATTATTATTACATCTGATGTTTTTTACATCATATCTCTTTGACCTACTACAGACAACATTTTTTTGAAGTTTGGGGATTGTGTGCCGTGAAGATCATGTGGTTCAATACAGAGTGAAATAAAAGGCTGACTACGGTATTGCTTTTTTACACATTGGATAAAATTAAAGTAAATAAAATTTGTCATTCACTTAATGATTGGCTGTGGAACATTGTGTTCAACATTGTGGCTGCAGTGTTCACCTACAAAATAGTCATTACAGTTTACATTAAAACCGGTGTAGCAATTTGAGATATTCTCCCAACATGACCAGCGCTGTATTAAATGCAAAGGTGATTATTATTGTAGCATCAGACTGTCATGTATGTCCTTTATTATATATATGGGCATCATTTGTGGACATGTTTCAATTTCTAGACTCTTCATTGTTGCTATATTTGAAGTTGCTTGAAATGCTATTGTAAGTGTACTCTTACTCGGCCTCATGTGTGTGCTTACAAAATACCTGTAGAGAACCTTTGATAAAGTGGCTCATATTCTTATCAGTGGCACTTTATAGATTGGGGCCCACAAAACATCGACAACGTATTAAAGGAATATCCACTGATTGGTCATTTTCACTTCCTTCTGCTACAAGGAGAGTCTAGAAATTCACCAACATATTTTTAAATGATCTACCTATAATACACCAGTTAAAATTATGGATATGTACGTACGCATTACATACCGATAATTTTAAGAAAAGTGAGAGATTGTTCTGAATAAAATTTCACTCATATCACTATTAAAGTATAAATGGTAACTTTTTTACGGTATATAATAATAATCCTTGCATTTGATATAGCGCTTTTCACGTCTTCTAGACGTCCCAAAGTGCTTCACAGAATATACTGTGAAGTGAATTGACTGTATATTTGTGGGCGAACGCGGCAGCCAATTGCGCACAGCAATGTCCCACAAACAGTCGTAGATTGATAATGACCAATTTATTATTGTTTTTTTGTTTTGGAGGGATTATTATTAGGCGTGTGGAGTAAGGAAACTTGCCTTACATATAACTGATGTTCGGGGATGTATAATAGTACTTTACAACTGAGAGTTTGGAACAAAATTTGGACCCACACAAAACAGAACTTACCTTGTTTGTAGTTAAGAATTGACCATCTTCAGTTTAACAGATAACAAAACTGACCTTGCTTTGTATTGTAAATGTTCAATTACCTTTTTTTACTTCAAGAAGTGGTTGGGGTTCAGACCTTGTCAGACTTGTTCGTGGATTTAATGTCTGGCAACTCTTAATTGAAATCTCAGTTGCAGCAGTCAGTCAGTTGGATGGTTTACAAAATTTTGAAGGAATTTATTCCAATGCAATTTTACTATACATATACTATATACCATACATTAGATTATTTTCTGTTCATTGTTGCCTTCAGAACTTAGAGATTGGTCTGAAAGTAATGTCATTTTGAATTGACCAACAATTGGACATCATTTCTGTTTTATCTCATTGTATTCCCGGTGATCCTGTTTCATTAGCAAACATTGGAATTTTTGCAATCTTCTGGTTGACATAGGTCACTTAGTGCAAGAATGTACAGCCCGAATTGTCTTAATTTAATTGCTAAACTGGCACAACTCAAGCCTCTCATTCAATTAATATATCTTTGGAAAAAATTGAAGTATACTGGCAACTGTTATTCATCACGAGACATTGTCAGAGATGGCTGATACTCAAGTTTTGCTTTACTTGTACTTCAGCAGCACGGTGGATCTGGTTTGTATCCAATCAGACATCGGATCAATTCTAAATGGAAAAGCTTTTTGAAATAGTCTACTTCAAAAATGAAGTGCTAAGTTTTTGTTTTATACTAGTTAATGAGTGCAGGTCATCTTGAATAATCAAAGGTGTTAAGAAAAAAAATGAATTAAGTGATGAAATTAACTGTCCACGGATGATTTCCTGCTTCGGTATTGTGATTTGATATTAAATCTGTCTCACATTATTGCCACCACTTTGTTCACTTGTGTAATTGTCTACCATTACGATTAGAGACTGGGACCAAATTGGAAACCCATCAGGGGGAAGGAATTATTACTGTCCTTTTCTTTTGATTGAGCCATCCAGAAAGATAATTTTCTATATCAGAACAAATCAATTCACATCTCAACCCTGTTGTGCAATACCAATAGCTTCTGTTTAGATTTTCCTCTTTTGCTAACCTGCTGTGTGCAACATTTGAGAGTCCTCCTGACATGATGTGCTGAGTGCCAGCCACCTGTGTAAAGTGCTTTAAGTTGTCCTCTTGAGGTGAAAAATTGTACATAAATGTGGTATTGTAATTAACCAGAGAAAGCTTTGGGTCCTACATTTATAAAGATAAGGATTCCTTAATTGTAGCCCTGTATTTCATGGAAGACTACTAACATAGTACAGCATTTTGAGAAAAATACCCAGAAAACAAGTGTTTCTAGGTACAAAGGATTGAAAAGGATTTCCACTGATCATTCCCATTTGGGTAATCTTGACATAATTGCTTGGTTGAACAGCATGTACACTGGGAGACGAAATAATATGTCTGAAATTCCTATAATTGCTTGACAGAATAGAAGAGTGCTTTTAACTGAGTTGAACTAGCTATTTGACTGAAATCTGCTTTGTTCTAGAGTCGTGCCCCAATCTCAGCCAAGCTGGTGGCCAATATGTTGTCAGTTGCTGGAGCTGATCACATCATCACCATGGATTTACACGCCTCTCAGATACAGGTTAGTGAAAACACCACTCTTTTCAGCAAAATATCAGATCTTTTAAAGTGTATTAACCATAGTAATTGTATTTTGCGCAGGTGCACTTGAATTTCACAGGGTCTAATGTGTGCAACCTGAATAACCATGTATTGTTTTATTTTAATTGCACATTCTGTTTACTTTACACAGCCACCAGAAAACTACAAGGATTGTTCCACAAAATGTGTTTACATTCTTTGGACTGAATTATAATGTTAAGAAGTTCCTTAAAGGAATACTCGAGGGGCGCTGACCTCAGATGCTAAATTAAAATTAAATCTATTTCTTTATAATATGTTGCCCTTTCAGAAGATTACTCCACTCCAACTAATTGCCTTCTCTGGAAATTGTATCCACTGTGCTGAGAGAACAGTGTAGTAAGATTTTATTTTAGTGTTGAGTCTGGCGATCAGGGACTCAGCATCAGTGCTCTCACATAATTCTGCACCATTTTAGTGCATTGTAGTTCATCGAAATTCAGTGTAGAATGACTCCAAGTGTGCTACAGTTCCAGATATGTTTCTGTGAGTGAAAGAAACTTGCTGCAGGGCTAAGTGTAAATTTGTCCTACTTAAATTATATGGCGCTCATAGAAAATTGGGCTCAGCTTCTCAAATCTATCATTTTGGTTTTATTTGAGAGCCTTCTGTAGAGTATTCCTTTAACGAATATCCTCTATGGGAATTGTTTGAATCTTGTATTCAAAACAGCAGAAGAAAAAGATGGAGTCATTGGATTGAGCTTTTCAGCTTTGACCATGAACTGAATGATGTGTAAGTTTTATAGTTGTAAGGAGAAAGGACTTCACATTTAATGTTTGTAACCCATCTTGCAAAACTCACACTCTAGCTTTACAATATTCTACTTAGGTATAAGTTTTGCTTGGCAGTTCAAGGATGTATTCAGATTTTCGGTATTTAATGGCGATCGGATGCAGCTAACCTGGAGTAACCTGCTAAAAGAGTAGCATACTGCAAAAAAATAGTCTGAAAAGCAAACCTTCTGGAATGGATGAGATGAGCTGTTTCATTACATGTACTTGCTGAGTTGTTACATCTGTGAGATATATTTTCATGTAGCTTTTGAATCACTGTATGATGGGTCAAGTAAAAAGTATACACCTGTCTACATTTTTAATGTTTTTATAGTTAGTGATTTAACATTTCATTTGATTTATTGAGCTGGAACCAAACTCCACAGTTTATCAGGGTTCAAATTCCAATGATCAGCCATCTAAAGTTGGCGCTGGTATTTGGAACACAATAAATATTTTGTTATAGAGACTGTTTAGAATTAATGTTTACAAGATGGGCATTTTGTCATTTGACATATTTATCTCCCAGTGGTAAATTAGAATTTATGGTGTGGAGCATTATGTGCACAGCCGAGTTATGACCGAGTTTTCAGAAATTCACTTCAGTTTAGAATACAGCAGAGTTGGTCGTTAAAAAGCACTCCAGTTATTTTGTTGTTGTGCTTTATTGTTAGGGTTTCTTTGATATTCCTGTCGACAACCTATATGCAGAACCAGCAGTACTGCAGTGGGTGAAGGAGAACATTATAGATTGGAAAGATTGTATAATTGTCTCACCAGATGCTGGAGGAGCTAAAAGGTGAGCAAATGCTCAAACTGCTTTGGTGTCAATACGTATATATAGACCACCTTAGTTTTTTCAAGTTCAGTGACTTCAATTTTGCAAATGTCAGTAATAATACATCCAAGTAACTTCTTGAAAGTATAACAGGAGCTTCAATGTTCTGAACCCACTTTTTGATATAAGCTTTGGTTTCCCCAAAATTGATACCCAAAATATACTTGGATGTAATGGAGGATTGGTATTTTGGATTTCTTTGATTGTCAAAGGAAAAATTTAATTTGCTGCTTAATATACATATTTCAGATCTTTGGAGACTCAAAGGTTGAAATGTAAATAAAAACGTTTTGGTCTTGACACATGTGGAAACCCATCACCATGCTTAAGAGTATCCAAACTAAACTGAGAATTCCATGCATCCCACCTAGATAAATGTAAAATGAGCCATCTTATTCCTGTTGAATGTATTATGTTTAGCCATCATGTTATAGAATGTGGTGGCTGATGTATCATAATGCTATGTGCTGTGCTTTCATCTTTAGGGTGACATCAATTGCTGATCGTCTCAATGTTGAATTTGCTTTGATCCATAAAGAAAGAAAAAAGGCAAATGAGGTAGATCGAATGGTACTTGTTGGGGATGTGAAAGACAGAGTAGCCATTCTTGTGGATGACATGGCAGACACCTGTGGAACAATATGTCATGCTGCTGACAAGTAAGTAAATGACATCAAGTCCTGAACGAGAGCCAGCTTCCACCAGCTCAATGTTGGCAAGACCGAGGCCCTCCTGCTTTGCTCCCAGCAGCTCCTCCTCACCTCAGCTGGTGACACTATCACCAGTCATGGCTGCGCTTTTCACCTCACCGATCCAATCCAAAACCTTGGTGTCCTTTTCGACCCTCAGCTATCCTTCAAACCCCGTATTCGTGCCGTGACCCATTCCGCCTTTCCACCCCTTCGCAACATTGCCCCCCCTCCACTGCTACCTCTCACTGCAGGCCGTCGAACCCCTGATCCACAATTTCACTAAGTCCCGGCTTGACTATGTCAACTGCCTGCTCACTGGACTCTTCCCTCCACAAGGTGCAGATTATTCAGAACTCTGCAGCTCGTGTCCTCTTCCACACCAGGCTCCAGGAACCTATCACCCCCATTCTTATCCGGCTTCACTGGCTCCCCATTCCTTAGAGAATTGAGTACAAAACCCTTGTTCTCACCCTCAAGGCCCTCCATCTTGCTCCACCCTACCTCTCCGACCTTGTAACCCCATATCAGCCTGTCCCTTACCTCCGCTCGGTGGACACCGGCCTGCTTCGGGTCCCCCGCACTTCCCGCTTTACCATTGACGGTCGGGCTTTTAGCATCTCTGCCCCCACACTCTGGAACTCTATCCAGCAATCCCTCCACCTCACCTCCTCTCTTGCCTCCTTCTGAAGACCTTCCTCTTCGACCGTGCCTTCGGCCACGCTCCCACCCCTGCCCCTCTCCCCTTCTGACCCTGACTCCCAGCTCGGATCCAAACCCCTGATAGTCCAGCGCCTTGGGACGTCTTTCTGACACGATGGGTGCTATATAAATGTAATTTGTTGTTGTAAATATCAAAGAAAGTTGGATCAGTAGCAATTGCACAAATGCAAATTCTTTTATTGCTTGTCTTTATCAACAAGCTTATTTAAAAGGCAACACATTTGAACAGATAATCTATGGTGCTCTATTGTGTAGTTGGATGCATGTTGTGTTAGGAAGGAGTCTAGCTTACCACCTACACTTAAAGTTTTTTCACCCAGAGAACTTGAGTGATCCATGGCAACCATCACTCAAACCATTACAGTGCAAGTAACTGGTTTTGAAATACTTTTCATAATTGGCTGCCTTACCAGTTCTAGGTCTCTCGCTGGTTCTTGGTGAGGACACCTCCACAGGAATGCATTTTCCTGGTCCCCTTCCCCTTTGTCCCATTGCCTCAACTTCATTTTCTCCAAAAGAGATTTTCCTCTCGTTCTCGCATGGTCCCCCGTGGTGTACCTCCTGGCTACGTTCTCAGGCCCCTTTTTGCCTTATGTGCTTTTCCCTTTATGAAGTGACCCACAGACATAGGGTAAATTTCCATGTATATGCTGATGACACCCAAATCTACCTTTTTGTTCCACTCTTGATTCCAGGTCCATTGATGTTTTGACCGCCTGACTCAACTTCCTTCAGCTTAAAGTCAACAAAACAGAAGCCATCCTACACAGCTCCCATCAATACTTCCTTGCTTTTGCCTCTGATTACCTCAGCCATCCCAGTTACAGTCTCCATCTCACTCAGCTGTCTTGGGTTTCTCTTTGACCCTCAACTTTCCTTCCTTGCATTCTTCCCTGCGTGCAATTGGCTGCTGCGTTTCGCCTACACAATATACAATCAGTTCACTTTACAGTATATTCTGTGAAGCGCTTTGAGACGTCTCGCAGGCGTGAATCAGGCTCTATATCAAAAAATGCAAGAATTGCATCTAGTCCCTGACCAAGATCATTTTTCTGGATCTTTTGTCACCTAGAATCACGTTGTCTACCACGCACAGGGTGACCAGAACCCTTGTCCACATTCATTGCCTTCAGACTTGACTTCTCCAGCTTTAACTTCCACAAGCTCCTGCTCATCCAAAATATGGCTGTTTGCACCCTTAGCTTTGCGAGTCCATCCACGCTAGGTTGTTGGCTCCCAGTGGATTGACTTCAAGATCCTCCCTCTCGTCTACCAATTCCAACAGTTCCTCACCCCTCTCTACCTCTGTGACTTTCTCTAGCCTCGCTCTCCTGGTTAGCCCATTCACGCTGCAAACTCTGACCTGCTGCACATTCCTCACCCTCTCCGCCCTAATATTAGCAGCCAGGTCTAGCTACTATGCCCCTAATCCCTGGAAGTCCCTTCCTAAATCTCTCAGCCATACCCCTGTTCTACCTGTCTTTAAAAGCCTCCTGAAAACCTACCTTTCTGCCTTGCTTATGTTCCCCCTCTCTCTCACCGACCCTCCCTGCTCGGTCTGACACCCTCTTTGTGAAAAGCTTCAAATGTTACCTTGTGTGAAAGTCACTATGTAAATGCAAGTTAGTTTGTCTATAACTTTTACTCCCATCTATCTCTCTCTATAACCTTTCAGAATAAATCACTGTTCAGTGCTCCAGGCCTCAAATACATGCATGCATAATTAAATATTTCAGCTCGTTACTACAGTTCTGCTACCTTAGCCTCATTGCAGTTTAGTGGACATGCAGTTTTCTAGTAAAATTTCTGTTGTGCGGATTGTGCAGAGCTTCTCTGCTAATGGCCAACTCATATTTTACAATCTTAACCACTTTTGTATCTTTCAGGTTGATCTCTGCTGGCTCTACCAGAGTTTATGCTATTCTTACTCACGGAATCTTCTCCGGGCCTGCTATTTCCCGAATAAACAGTGCTGGTTTTGAAGCTGTTGTTGTAACAAACACCATTCCACAGGAAGAAAAAATGAAGTATTGTCAAAAGATTAAGGTGAAAAACTATCCAAATTTTCAAAGATTGAGAAATGCGTTCAGTAATACACAATCCCTAACTGGTTTGTTTTTCCTACCTTTTCAGGTCATTGATATATCTATGATCCTTGCTGAGGCAATACGAAGAACCCATAATGGTGAATCCGTGTCCTATTTGTTTAGCCATGTTCCATTGTAAGGCATTCAAATTTAGCTTTGCTACATTGCTCTGAACTAAAATGCTGCTGGGCTACATTGCTGGAAAAGTAGTCATTTCTTACTGTTTAAGCAGATTTAGCTTAGGAGTTTTATTTTGTATCAAACTGCACAAAATGGCATTCATAATGGTACAAATTGAAGTTGATCGCATGACAACTATCCATTTTTATAATAATAATCCTTGCATTTGATATAGCCCTTTCACGTCGGGAGGACGTCCCAAAGCACTTCACAGAACACACTAAAGTGAATTGACTGTATATTTGTGGGCAAACGCGGCAGGCAATTGCGCACAGCAATGTCCCACAAACAGTCGTAGATTGAAAATGACCAATTTTTATTATTGGTTTTGGAGGGATTATTATTAGGCTCTGTGTGGAGTAAGGAAACTTACCCAAGGTTTCCCCCTCCTGGAATTGAACTCAGGTCTCTCGCTTGCAAAGCGAGTGCTCTAACCACTGAGCTACAGGACTTTAGGGGCTTTATGGACTGCATTTTATTTCTCGCTTCATTTTCATATCCAGAATGAAAAAAGAAGCGTAGAAAAGGCTGCAGAGTTCTACAGTAAAACTCACATAAGCCAATGGGAACATAACATTTAGTATGAGTTGTGTGAAACCTGAATTACAGGCAAACTAGAAGTTATAAAATTTACAAAATCTGATTTAATCAATAATATACACTCCACATGCTTAATTCAATGCAACAGTAAGTGCGAATGCGGTACTTTGTCACAGCAGCTAGTAAATGTGAATGCAGTGACAGGTCAAGGCTACGTTTGCTGTGATTTAATACGTCTTGACAACAACAACACAAGTTACATTTATATAGCGCCCCTCACAGAGGGTAGCGCCTCAGTGCGTTTGGACCCGTCGCCGCATGCGTATTTAGCAAGCATTGGAATCGCATTGAATAGCGGGAAATTAAGTTCTTCTGCGCACCTGGTAATGGGTCAGGTTTACGTTTTCTGCGATTCAGTGCAACCAGCTGTTAAGTGCGCATGCGTTGACGGGTCAGGATGTCATTTCTTGCCATTCAATGCAGCCGGTATGAGCAGGAGTAATGGAGGGTAGGGGAGTGGTGTTACAAGTTCGGAGTTGATTTTATAAAATTTGACGAGTGTAAAGAACCCTTAAGTGGTTTTGATAGGAAACTGAATGAGACTCGGATGCATGTGCAACTTAGGCGATTATACGATTGATAAAGAACTTTGCGAGTTTTACTGTATTTGCTTTTTGTATTTTTTAGAAATGTAAGCTTTTGAGAAGTGAATTTCTATGAATTTGTTACTGCTTTTTTTTAAACGCACCAAAAGCACAAGACCCAATAAAGGGTTGTGTTAATTCTTTTTTATGGAAAATAAACTGAAATGTTTGTAGTTTTTTTTCTGTTAGAGATGCAAAATTAAAACTGCAGCACTAGTTACTGAATATTCAGCCAACATTCCATAGATGTTATAAGTCATCATACACACAAAGTATGGTCGGATGACTTGCTGCTGCTGCTGGGAATGTGCATTTCTCATCAGTGGTGAAAAACGGGTCAGTACTGGAATTAGGTTGTGAAACTGAATTCTAGTGCATGTACAAATGAAATATTCTGTGAAAGTTTGATGTACACCAATGTGCGGAGCATTGACGACTGATTTTAAATAAAATGTTTTCTCTGCGGGAAAAGTCTGCTGCTCACATTTTTCACTTTTATTAGGGAAGTGTACTGTTTTTACACCATTAACAAGCAAAGTTGTTAAAAGCCAACAGTTTCCCCTCTGGAAATTGAAAGTACAGATTCTTTTATAGTACAGGTAAGTTGCGCTGCGTTTTCAAAAAGTCTGAAAGAGTGCTCCAAAACTGACAGATCGCTCACGAATCCTCTCAGGCAAAGGAAACATTCATCATAATTCTCCTTTATGGTTGGTTATAGAGGAGCATGAATTGTGAGTTGCCTTCATAATGGAGGTTCCCATATAGATAGATATAGCAAAGTTGAACTTTACATTCAAAATGTCGTCCTAAAGCAAGTCATTTTATTGCAGCGCCTTTTTTGTCAGAGAGTACAGGATGCAATTCCAGGTGAAAAGGATCTGCAAAATATGGATTCTGCGTCAAGTAGAGATAACTGTGGATTTGTTTGACACGAGAAGAATAAGAACGTTTGCTGTGCCCGATAACTATTGCTGGAAATATGACCATAATTTGAGGTACTAAAGGCATTTAGTGTGAAACTAAATCTCACAAAGTTAACACTGAATGCGTTGTGAAATACTAAACGTGCTGCGCCCCTTCCTAGTGTCCTAGGTCTCGCTCATAACGTCATGACTTTTGTGGAAACTTGACAGCAACAACTTGCATTTATATAACACCATTTTGCATGATAGCGTCTCAATGCTGCACACGTGGCAGGGTTGGACGCAGAGCAAGGGAGATGGGTAAGTTGATATAAAGCAGAATTTGCATCCGTCTTTGCCTACGAAAGCAGTCCTGATATTTAGCTGTAATAACTTGTGCATTGTTTTCAAATGTTTTGACATAATAATAAATAATAATAATCCTTGCATTTGATATAGTGCTTTTCACGTCTTCCAGGCATCTCAAAGGGCTTCACAAAATATACTGTAAAATGAATTGATTATATTTGTGGGCGAAACGCAGCAGCCATTTGCACACAGCAGTGTCCCACAAACAGTCGTGAATTGAAGTGACCAATTATTATATTTTTAAAGGAATTATTTATTACCGACAGAAAAGCGATCTGCCAATTGACTAACAACCGGGTTCCTACTTACTGCTAGATAACAGTGGAAGTATCTGTCCACCTCTCTTAAACAATAGAATAACTAGAACACACATTGAATCTGGCTCCAACGTTTCTTTTAGCATATGCTGCAGTAAAGAATAACCATGGCTTCAGGCTTGAGTGCAAAACAATTTTTTTCTAAAAAAAAAATCATTCATCTGGAGATGAGCCCGTCCACATATGCATACAAGATTTGTCTTCCCATGTGTACAATTTGTGTCTTTTCTGCATATGTTTCTGCATATTTTGTGCAGCTGGTGGAATTTTCATTCAAAGACTAAAGGCGTATCCATGGGACATTGGTTTTTATTGAGGTCAGAAGATGCCCATATAGTAATTTAATTATTCTGCTCAATTTCAACATAACTGCATCAAATAGTGATATAAATAGCACAGTTCTCAATTCTTAAAAAAAGATTTAATGTAATAATGGCTTGAATCCTCTCCAGTATTTAATACATTTTTTGAAACCTTGTCAGAGTCTTAAGTTTCAAATGTCTACTGTGACAGGTTTAGGGATATTTCAGTGTCATTACAAGCCGACACTCCGTTTTAGAGCTATCAAAAAATGGTAGTTGTAAAGTTACAATAAATAGATTTTGGATTATTTTGCCTGGGTGGGATTGTAGTGCAGTCCCAAGTGCTTTTCCTGAATCAACCGCTCATTCTATCAAATAATTGTCTTGGCAAAATACTATTTTCAGTCATCGAAGATCTCAATTTTGAATTGAGGGCTACTTAGCAACTAGTTCTTGAACATGAAATTACATTTTCTGTAATACTCATGCCATCTATTGGCACTAGCTGGGATACTGCATGGCTATTTATGAAGGGCCGAGTTAAATAGTCGTAAAACCAATTTTTTTATAGAGAAAACCTGGCGGGCGAGACTTTCTCTTTATTGAATAACCAAAGAAAGCTGTCTTGAGACCATGGTAAGAATGTTAGGTTACTGGTTTGTTGGTGTGGTAGATTGAATTCAATAAAACCTATTCACCAGCTCAATTGACGTATTTAAAGATCAAAATAAAACCCAAATAATTTGCCTTCATAAAACATTTTATTTTGCTGTATCTCTCTTAGCTTTGTAACGGATGCTAATACACCTTGTCCAGTGAAAATATAGAACAGTTCTATGAAGAATTGTATTTAAATTCTTCAATTTATCAATTTCACAGAAATATCTAAAACAAATATCCACATTTTGGTGGATTTTCCTAAATTTCACAAAGGAAATATTTTTCACAAATCAACACTATAATCCTTGCATTTGATGTAGCGCTTTTCACGTCTTCTAGACGTCTCAAAGTGCTTCACACAGTATACTGTAAAGTGAATTGACTGTATATTTGTGGGCAAAACTCAGTAGCCAATTGCGCACAGCAGTGTCCCACAAACAGTCGTGTATTGAAGTGATCAATTTATTATTGGGTTTTTTTTTCCTGAGGGAATATTATCAGGCATGTGGAGTAAGGAAACTTGCCCAAGGTTTTGTTCTGCCAGGAATCGAACCCAGTTCTCTCGCTTGCGAGGCGAGTGCTCTGAACACTGAGCTACAGAACTCCACATTAAGATTTTTACTGACAAAACCATTTCCTCATTTACTGGACCAGTCACGAGGGCACCTACTTTATACATAATATGGTTAATCTGGTTAAGAAGATTTTTTGAATTTAATGGGAAACCCTGTGACTTTTGATAGCACAGTAAACACTGCAGGGTATTAAAGCCAAATAGAATTTTAAAAAAGTTTTTTTTTCTGTGTCTTGTTATATCTGTGTTTTCAATCTCCCAACTTCCTAAATTACGAAGTTGAGGTTTCTCAAAGGTCCATCTAGGTATTCTGTCTTGACTGGCAATTAAACTATAAACAGCAGTAATTTGCACAGGGAGGGTTGGTGCAGTGGGAGCTCTAGCTTTCTATTGTATGAGTACAATTTAACAAAGGAAAACTATTTCCACTGCTAACGAGAGGATTAATACAGGTAAGAAGATCTGTGGGCAAAAAAAAGGGAATTGAGTAGAAAGGTGCAGATCAAAGGGAAGTTACAAACCAGATCATTTTCTTTGAAACAAATACGTTTTTTGCAGAATTAAAAATAAATCCTAACAAGTGTATCAGCCAGGGAGGAACCTGAACTTATGAGCAGTACAGTTTGGTTCTTGCAGCTTACCAGAAAAGGGAAAAGACTAAATCATATTTCCTCTTGAATACTTCATAGGGGGATTGTGTTTTTTTTCTCTCTTGCTTGACACTGGACTTGAATTTGTTCAAAAGTGAGTGTTCAAAATCTGTGTGTCTGTCTCTGTGTTTGTATCTGTGTGCGTCTCTCTGTCTTTGAAACCTTTGGCAAGTTTCCTTACTCCACACACCTCTGTTTACCTCGCAATAAGTAGGAACCCGTTGTTAGTCAATTGGCAGATTGCTTTCTGTGGGATAATAATCCCTTAAAAAAAATCAATCAAGGGCTATATACTGAACCCTGAACTGTCCTTTCTCCCCCAAACTCTGAAACTCTATTCCACGGTCACTTCGCCTCGCTTCCTCCCTTGCCTCCTTCAAGGCCTGTCTCAAGACCCTTCTCTTCGATCATGCCTTTGGTCACCTTCCCACCTCTCTGCCTTCCCTCACCCCTACGCCACACTTCCCCATGCTCGGGCCCCGACACCTGACTGTCCAGCACCTTGGGACGTCCTCCCGATGTGAAAGACGCTCTATAAATGTCATTTTGTTGTTGTTATTGTTGTATGCGGGACACTGCTGTGCGTAATTGGCTGCTGCGTTTCATCCACAAAAAACGCTACACTTTACAGTATATTGTGAAGTGCTTTGAGACATCTCGATGATGTGTTGAGGCGTTGTATCAAATGTGAGGATTATTATTATTATTTATTCACTAACTGTACAAAGGAGCCTGTGCATCTGAAGTATATTTTAGCGATTTTATTAGAAAATGGAACACTGAGAATATTCTGTTCTCTAGCCTATGGGCACTAAGGCCATTTGTCATGCGCCTATAGAGCAGAGACTACCAACAGCCATAAGGAGGGTGCATTTTGTTGGAACCCTACCACAAGATTTGTTCAGGTGAAGGTTCTTTAGCCATCTGCTCACATCCTTTCAGAATACCCACCCTCCGATCACAGTGTCCAGCTGTTTTTTTTTAAATCGAGCCCAGTGTTCTGGATTCAGGTACTCCGCCACACAAGGCACATTGCTGACCATTTGTATAGTGCCTTTCACGTCAGGAGGATGTCCCAAGTTGCTGGACAGTCAGGGATCCATCCGCACCCGACCTGGTGGTTGGGACCATGAGGGGTGGAGGGCGGGGAGGGTAGAGGTAGGAGGGTGACCAAAGGCACAGTCGAAGAAAAGGGTCTTGAGATGGGTCTTGAAGGAGGCAAGGGAGGGGGTGAGACTGCGGGATGGAGTTCCAGAGGGTGGGGTCAACGAGGCTGAAGGCCCGCCCACCCACCAATGGTGGGGGCGGGTAAGGGAGGGGACGTGAAGCAGGCCAGAGCCCACTGAGCGGAGGGAATGGATAGGTTGGTCACAGGTAGGGAAGAGCAAGTCCGTGGAGGGCTTTGAAGGTGAGGACCAGGATCTTGAACTCTATCTTCTGAGTGACGGGGAGCCATTGGAGCCGGGCAAGGACAGGAGTGATAGGGTCGTGGAACCTGGTACAAGAGAGGGCACGGGCTGCAGAGTGATCTGGATGATCTGTAGCCTATGGAGGGAGGAGTTGGGGAGGCTGACAAGCAGGGTGTTTACATAGTCAAGCCTGGATGTGATGAATGCAGAATGGATGAGAGTCTGTCAGCGCCCGAGGTATCAAACTTCCCCCAGGCTCTCCTTCAGACTTACTGAACCTGTACGCAACTCAGGCATCAGATTGAATCCCCAGCTTTCCTTCCTACCCACATCTGTTCCCTGACCAGGAACGCTTTTTACCATATTGCCCGGCTCCATCCGTACCTCATGACAAAAGCAGCTGAAACCCTCGTCCAGGCCTTCATCGCTTCCTTGCTGGACTATTCCAATGCCCTCCTCGCTGTTGTCCCCAGCTCCACTGTACACAAAATTCAACTGATTGAGAACTCCACCACCTGGATTCTCACCCGCACAAAACTCCTTACCAGCTCGGGTCACAATCCCTGGCTGTTCAGCGACTTGGGACATACTCCTGACATAAAAAGCGCTTTACAAATGTAATTTTGTATTGTATTGTATGCCCATCACACTAATCCTTCCCAGGTTCCACTTGCTTCCGATTAATGAATGGATCAATTTCAAGATCCTCTCGGTTGTTTTCAAATCCCTTCGTGCCTTGGCACCTCCCTACCCATCCAACCTGCTTACCCCCCATTCCATCGCCCACTGCCTCCGTTCAGCTGCCTCCGGCCTCCTGTTCATCCCACGTCCCCTCCGCTCCACCATCCGTGGCCGTGCCTTCAGCCGCTACGCCCCGAAACTCTGGAACTCTTTGCCTCAATCCCTTCGCCTTTCCCCCTCCCCCCCGACTTTCAAATCCTGCCTAAAGCCCTTTCTTCTTGATCGTGCTTCCAGTCACCTCCCCCACCCCCTCCCCGTCGCTCCTGGTCAGACTCCGCCACTGTCAAACGCTCCGGGACGCTATCCCAGTTGTTGTTGTCATGTGACCGATTCATTGTGAGAGCTGCTAGTGCTGACTCTATAATGCAGCTGAGGACTTTCTTGCTTGTGCAGCTAATGTCATAAGGAAACTGAAGCTAAGCTGTAAGCCACTTATCCCTAAAGCGGAACCTTGTCAAAGTAACCACAAGGGCCTTTAAAGCAGTTTTGGAGGCTTTCTCAAATTCAAAGCTAAGAAAGTTATTAGAGAAATGAAGTCGCGGCCAATTTGCACCCAGCATTGTCCCACCAACTGCCATGAAGCGAATGACCAATGTATCTGAGGAATTGTTGGCCCTGACACGAGAAGAAACTCCTGCTCCAATCCTATCTTGGAATCTATAACTTCCACCTGAACAGGCAGATGGGAACTTGGTTTGACGTCTCATCCAAGGAACAGCATCTCTGACAATTCAGCATTCCTTCAGCAATGCAATGGAGTGTCAGCCTAAGCAATGCAAGTTCAAAGTCTCAATGTGGGACTTGAACCCACAATCATTTGAGATTTAGAGGCAAGTACGCTATCAAATGAACCAAACTACGACTGCCGATATACAAAAGAGTTCATTCATTGAAAGGTGCTATATAAATGCAATTTGTTGTGGTGATGGTGAAGGTGTTGGCCTAAATCTTATGGAGAGTGTACAGAATTAATGTATTGTACAGATGTAGCCCAAGTACCAGAATATTTGCTTCTTGTAGTGATTAGTTCAGATGCTGTAGTTTGTCAACCGTGCTGAGGATTTTGTTTTTATGCTTCTAAATCCTGTCATGGGAAGATAATTCTTCTGGTAAGGTGAGATCAACTGAGCCGAAAAGCCTACTCAGCTGTTCTTCTCATGTGATCTTGTGATATTTGCAGAAGTGGGTACTAAGTTTCAATTTCATTCTTCCTGCGTAAGTGGAACTTATTTAATTTCACGTTAAGTTTCAGACATACCTAGACATAAAGTAAGTAACAAACCATCTGCACTCTGCAAAAAGCAAAAGTGTTCCATCCGCTGCAGGACTTGGCACATGTATCGAAGCATAGGGTCATCAACAAAAATTGCTTTCAGAACAGTTCCTTTTCAAAGACGACAAACACTTACTGAGCCAAACGTGACTCCACTCAGCAGCAGATAAAATGGTATGTATTGCATCAGTTCCACTTTTTAGCATGTTTTACTTTGTAATTTGGAAATAATATCTGGTACCTTTACATATTAAATCGTAAAAAGAAATAATTAAGTTTTGAGGTGAATTTGTGCTTTGTACCACCAATTCAAGCAGTCTGGCAATTTTAAATTTAATTTTAGAGATTACATTTCCTCTTCATATTGTGTGTTTCTTTGCTGCATTCGATTCACATCGCATAAGCCGGGCCTCTTTGCATATTGAATGCAGAACGTTAGGGGGAAATTATTTTGAGAGCTCCAGAACACCAATTTCAAAGCTAAGACTAAATTCCAACAGTTTGCCAAAGCTGGACGCTCCACAAATGTGGCAGCACTCTCGCCTCTCAGTCAGAAGATTGTGGATTTGAGCCCCACATTGGGAATTGGGCAAACATTGTCTCAAATGACACTTGTTGCAGGGCTGGGGTGTGATGCATTGTCACCGATGCCATTCTTCAGATGAGGCGTTAAACTGAGTCCCCATCTGCCTTTTCAGGAGGATATTAAAGATTCAATGGTACTATTCGAAAAGAGACTTTTCTCCTGGTGTCCTGGCCAACAAACCACCAAATAAAATTAGAAGTCTTTTTTCTTAACAATTCGGTTTTGTGAGTCTGCGTTCTGTGTAGCTGAAAGGCCATCTTTCACAATGCAGCAGTGCACTGTACGATGTGCTAAAATGTTAGACAATAATTACAGATTTTCAGTAGGTTAGAGACTGTTTCTTAGTCACACTCTGTTTTAGCAGCTCCCTGCTCTAGGGCATCCTTTCACTCTCTTACCCCTCTCCAACAGCCTGACTGATTTGAAGAGGGTATCTTTCACGTTTATCTCAATTGGTCGCATAGAATTACATAGAACGGTATCACACGAAACAGACCATTCGGCCCTCGGTATTTATATTCCACATGTGCTCTTAATGGGCTGGTGGCGGTTGGCTGGGGGATGTGCGGGGGCTGGCTGGGGTGGGATGGGGGCTGGCTGGGGAGGAGCGGGGGCTGGCTGGGGGGGAGTGGGGGCTGACCGTTGGGGGGGAGCGGGGGACTGGCTGTGGGGGAGGAGAGGGGGTGGTTGGCTGGTGGGGAGCGGGGGGTTGGCTGGGTGGAAGAAGAGTGGGGTTTGGCTGGTGGACGGGGGCGGGCGGTTGGTTGGGGGCATGGGTGGCTCCCCAGCCGTGGAGTCCTGTAGCTCAGTGGTTAGAGCACTCGCCTTGCAAGCGAGACACCTGGGTTCAATTCCAGGTCAGGGCGAAACCTTGGGCAAGTTTTCTTACTCCACACGCCTAATAATAATCCCTCCAAAAAAGAGAAACAATAATAAATTGGTCATTTTCAATTCACGACTGTTTGTGGGACACTGCTGTGCGCAATTGGCTGCCGCCTTTCGCCCACAAATATACAGTCAATTCACTTTACAGTCTATTCTGTGAAGCGCTTTGAGATGTCTAGAAGACGTGAAAAGCGCTATATCAAATGCAAGGATTATTATTATTGTTAAACACCTTCCCGCATTCCGTTCTCTAGGTTAAACAGAATGACTTTTTTTAAGGATTAAGTTGTTTCTATATATCAATAGTTCAGTAGCTTAATTATAATAATAATCCTTGCATTTGGCATAGAACCTTTCATATCAGGAGGATGTGCCCAAGTGCTTCACAGGCCTGTCCCGATGTTAAGAAAAAATATATTTTTCCTATATCCCATAGTCTCAATCCCCTTGTTCAACAAACAGCTGTGCAATTTCCTTTTCAGTTTTCTGGCACAATCTGCTTCATCGTCTCCTTAGACAGTCTATCCCACATACAAGATCCATCATAATCTTGCATGATTCCAGGTGAAGTAATCCATTCTAATCTGTGCGGTCACAACTTCTGATCTTTCATTTATTACAGCCATTAAGTTATGGGCCTTTCTTATTATCATTTCTTACTACAATGTTTTTGGAACAATGGTGTAACCTTGTTGATACCAACCTGTGAGATGGAATAAAATAATAATAATAATAATAATCCTTTTGTTTGATATCGCGCCTTATCACGAATTCTAGATCTCTCAAAGCGCTTCACAGAATGTACTGTAAAGTGAATTGACTGTATATATGTGTGGGTGAAACGCAGCAGGCAATTGCGCACAGCAGTGTCCCACCAACAGTGTGTGGACTGAGGTGACCAATTTTTTTTTCTTGAGGGATTATTATCAGGTATTCGGAGTAAGGAAACTTGTCTAAGGTTTCACCCTGCCGGGAATCGAACCCGGGTCTGTCACTTGCAAGGCGAGTGCTCTAACCACTGAGCTGCAGGACTCCTCGATAGGACCTGGGATGGCTTTGAATCCTGCCTAAAGACTTCCTGTTTTGATTGTGCTTATGGTCACCTTCCCCTTCCTGCTCTCTCCCCTTGGCTCGTTGTCAGACGCAGCCATTGTGAAGCACTCCGGAACGCTACCTCGCGTAAAGGGTGCTATATAAATGCAAGTTGCTGTTATCTGGTCAGAATCCTTATTCTCCCGATTGGTAAACCTCACACTTGTAAAATGCATCTGTACATTAAATCGTTCTTTTTTTTATATTTTAGATGTTAATAGACGCACAAGACCTGGTGCTTTACTTCCTCTTTCTATTCACAAATTCTGAAGTAACTGCAAACAGCTGGTTTCCAAGAAGTCTCCCATGTGATGTGAAGCACGATGTAGCCTCAGTGGTTGTTGACTGCAGTGAACGTGATCTGACAAAAGTGCCGAAGGGTTTTCCGTCGAATGCCACCAACATCACCCTTACCATTAATCACATCTCAATTATCACCAAAATAGCATTTGCTGGACTCAACAGCCTCACTGAAATTGAACTGCAATGCAACTGCATACCTGTCAGATTGGGACCAAAGGACCGTATATGCTTCAACCCATTACAGATAGAGAAAGGAGCCTTCTCGTCTTTACCTGCATTGAAGTCATTGTACTTAGATGGCAATCAGATCAGTGAAATACCTCAAGACTTGCCTCAAACATTGACCTTGTTGAGTCTTGAGGTGAATAGCATTTTTCATATCAACAAAGAAAACTTTTCAGAGCTCCAGAACCTAGAAGTTATCTACCTTGGCCAAAACTGCTACTATCGCAACCCCTGCAACGTTTCCTATATAATCGAGAATGATACTTTTTCTAACTTGGTAAGCTTGAGAATTCTGTCACTTAAAGACAATAACTTGACTTCTGTTCCTCTGAACTTGCCATCATCCTTGAAAGAACTTGATCTTTACAACAATGCGATACAGTGGATCCATGAAAATGATTTCAAGGGTTTGGTTGAGCTGGAAATCCTAGATCTGAGTGGGAACTGCCCTCGATGTTACAATGCCCCTTTCCCTTGTAAGCCCTGTCCTTTCAATGCTAATATATCCATACCTTCCGGTGCCTTTAACACACTAAAGAAACTGAAGATCTTACGCCTTCGTAGTAATTCTTTAACAACTGTGCCTAGTGCCTGGTTCAAGAACACTCCCAGCCTTAAAATTCTTGATTTGTCCCAGAACTTCCTCATTCAGGAAATAGCCACAGCTACATTTTTAAAATATCTGGTCAAGCTGGAGGAGATAGATTTGTCCTTTAATTTTCAATTGAAATATTACTCAGAGTATCTTAACTTGTCCAAGTACTTCTCTAAGTTGGTGTCGCTTGAAAGATTAATGATCAAAGGATATGTTTTCAAGGAGCTTAGTGAGCAGAACCTGAAACCACTCTTCAAACTTCAGAATCTTACACTTTTGGATCTCGGCACAAACTTTATTAAGGTGGCTGACTTGCAAGTGTTTTCCAAGTTCCAGGGTCTGAAGGTGATAAATCTTTCAGAAAATAAAATATCTCCTTCCTCCAGCGATCCATATTCGGGTAGCTGCAGAGCGAGCAATCACTACAAGGGTGAGAACTTCTACGGTTCTCCTAACGGAAGGTATTACTTCCGTTATGATGCGTATGGCCGAAGTTGCAAATCGAAGAACAAGGAAACTTTCTCACGCAGTGAATGCAATGAAATGGGAAAAACGTTAGATTTGAGCAGAAACAACATATTTTTCATCAATCCAATACAGTTTGAAAACATGTCATCTGTGAAGTGTTTAAATTTGTCTGGAAATCTAATCAGCCAAACATTGAATGGCAGTGAATTCAAGCACCTCCGACACTTGAGGTATTTGGATCTCTCAAACAATCGCATTGATTTGCTTTTCGAAACTGCTTTTCAGGAACTGAAGGAATTGAAATTTCTAGATCTCAGTAACAACCAACACTACTTCCAAGTGGAAGGTTTATCTCACAGTCTAAATTTTATCCAGAATCTGACCATGCTCAGCAAACTAATGATGAACTACAATCAGATTTTCTCATCTGAAGAGAAGATCTTGGAAAGCAGGTCGCTCAATGTTTTGGAATTCAAGGGGAATCAACTGGACGTCATGTGGAGAGACGGTGATGATAGATATGTAAGATTCTTCGAAAAACTCCACAATTTGACACGTCTCGACATTTCAAAATGTGGCCTTAGTTTTCTACCACCTGGCGTTTTTGAGAATCTTCCTCCAAATCTGAAGGAACTGCTGTTATCTGGCAACAAATTAAAATCTTTTAACTGGGGCAGACTGCACTTACTGGAGTCTCTGGAAACACTGGACCTTGGCAAAAATAGTCTGACGACTGTCCCACATGAACTGTCAAACTGCACTAAAACTCTCCAAAGGTTTATTCTGACTGAGAACAAGATCGCCAAGCTGACCCCACATTTCCTCAAGGATGCCTTCTTCCTTCGGTACCTGGACTTGAGCTACAACAGCTTACAAATCATCCACAAGTCGAGTTTCCCAGAAAACGTCATGAATCACCTGGAAATGCTGCTGTTAAATGGAAATGGCTTCTTGTGTACCTGTGATGCCATTTGGTTTGTGTGGTGGATCAACCAGACTTCTGTGAACATCCCTCATGTAGCCACAGATGTCAAATGTGGCTCCCCCAATATACACAAAGACCACAGTATCTTATCCTTAGATCTAGAATCATGCCAATTAAACTACCTTGGGGTTATACTGTATTCCATCACATCCTTTGTTATCCTCCTCTTGCTGGTAATATCGATCAGTAGCCACCTCTTCTATTGGGATGTGTGGTACGGTTATCATTTCTGTGCTGCAAGGTTAAGGGGATATCGCCCAATGTTGTCAGAAAACATTATCTATGATGCCTTTGTGGCTTATGACACAAAAGATCCCTTGGTAACAGACTGGATCTTAAATGAATTGTTGATCAACCTGGAAGAGAAAGGAGAACAACGATTGAGCCTGTGCTTAGAAGAAAGAGATTGGATCCCAGGCGAGCATGTTGCAGACAATCTTTCTCAGAGCGTATACCAGAGCAGGAAATCTGTCTTTGTGCTCACCAATTCTTACATGTCAAGTGGAAATTTCAAAACCACTTTCTACATGGCTCACCAGCGTTTAATGGATGAAAAGGCTGACGTGATCATTTTGGTTTTCCTGGAGAAAGCTTTGCAGACCTCCAAGTACCTTAGACTGAGGAAGAGACTTTGTAGGAGCTCAGTCCTTGAGTGGCCCAACAACCCTCGAGCTCAGCCTCTTTTCTGGCAGTGCCTTAGAAACGCACTAAAAGCGGACAATCGCAAGCACTATGGCAAACTCTTCAGTGAAATTATATAGTTCCAGGTGTACCCGGTTCCTCCATTTAAGTTCCTTTGTACTGTGGGCGAGAAGTAACCACGGAAGAAGTAATGTAGAAATGATCACCTCAGCTTGGCTCAATTATCGTGCAAGTCCACAGACACCGTTGATGACTGATCAACCAGCTTAGCTTGTCAGTAAACACTGGTAGCAGGGATTCCTCATTCTCAGCTCCTCTTAAGCTGCAAGCCATAGCGTTAACGGGTAGGATGGTCCTCACTGAACAGCCACAGAAGCTTGCCAAAGAGTTCTCTCAACGTCTGGCGATGGATGCAGTTTTAGCCGGCCGTATTCAGCTAAAATTCTGTGGTCCCCAAGCCTTGGCTCTTGCCAACCTGCCAACCCCTTGGGAATCAGGCAAGCAATTTGGGGAAAAATTGGGAGATAGTACGCATTCCATTCCAGGCGCAGACATTTTCACGTGTAGGTGGCATACGTACGTAGAACATACAGTCTGGTTTGGATACTCTTAAGCACGGTGATGGGTTTCCATCCATACCTGTCAGACACCCGAATGATCCCAAAAAACTCAGTAATAGGTGGGTGCTGCATTGTTAACGATGCCTTCGGACGAGATGTTAAACTGAAGTGCTGTGTGTATTGAACTGTACGTTAAAGATTCTCAACGGCACTATGTGAAACAAGAAGGGAGTTTGTCTGGTATTGTAGACTAACCCTCAGCCACTTTGTAGCTGTTTGTGGGGCACTGTTCTGCACAAATTGGCTGCCTCATTCATCTACAAATGGACAGTCGCTGTACTTTAGAGTAAAGTCCTGCGAAACGTTTTCAGAAGTGTCAACAATGCGATAAGCCGCCATATCAAATGCAAGGATTATTATTATAAATAAGTGAAATGTGGCAAGCCTATACAAAATGTAAAAATCATAAATGTTGTTGTTGTCGTTGTTATCAGCCATGGAGGGTCAGTGTTAACCACTCACTGTCGAATATTCGAGCACAATTGGATGCAGATTCAAGCTTCCTCTCTTCTCATGTAATAATGTGTCTCAGTCCCAACAACAGGAACACCACCAACTGCACCAGAATGACATTTTCCGTATTGCCCTTTTGTGCAGGATGTAGGGTTTCTTAAATTCGTGACCCCTGGGGTGAACTATGAACTTACACAAATTTCCTTTTTAAGCAGTAAATTATGCTTGATTATGGAAACAGTAAAGAAGCCTCGATTATGGAAACTCCCTCCTCATCGGTCTTCCCAACTCTTCCTTTCACAGGCTGCAGATCATCTAAAACTCTGTAGCTCATGTACTCTCGCGCACTAGGCTCCGTGACCCCATCACTCCCACCCTCACCCAATTCCACTGGCTCCCCATCCCTCAGAGGGTCGCGTTCAAGATCCTCGTCCTCACTTTCCGGGCCACCCATGGCCTTGCCCCCTCCTACCTCTCTGACCTGCTGACTCCCTACCAACCTGCCCGCTCCCTCCGTTCAGCGGTCTCTGGCCTGCTCCATGTCTCCCGCCCAACCCGCCCTACCATCGTTGGCTGGGTTTTCAGCCTCTCTGGCCCCACACTCTGGAACTCCACCCCACAGTCCCTTCGCCTCGCTTCCTATCTTGCCTCCTTTAAGGCCGGTTTCAAGACCCTCCTCTTCGATTGTGCCTTCGGTCACCCTCCCAGCTCTCTGCCTTCCCTCACCCCTACTCCACCCCTCCCCCATGCTTGGGTCCTGACCCCTGACTGTCCAGCGCCTTGGGACATTTTCCCGACTAGAAAGGTGCTCTATAAATGTAATTTTGTTGTTGTAAGATTTCATAAAAGCAAGGTTACGCATGTCAAAGTTATGTTTCATCAAATAAAATGAATAATACTACTAATAATAATGCTTGCGTTTGATATAGTGCCTTATCACATCTTCGAGATAGCATTTCACAGTATATACCATAAAGTGAATCGACTGTATATGTAGTGGGCGAAATGCAGCAACCAATTGCGCACAGCAGTGACCACAAACAGTCGTGAGATTGAAGTGACCAATTTATTATTTTTTTAAGGAATGATTACCACCCAGAAAAGTGATCTGCCAATCGACTAACAACCAGGTTCCTTTTTACCGCTAGGTAAACAGAAGCGTGTGCAGTAAAGAAACTTGCCCAACGTTTCGCCCTGCCGGGAATCAAACCTAGATCCCTCGCTTGCGAGGCGAGTGCTCTAACCATTGAGCTGCAGGACTCCGCTTAATGCTTGCAATGGGTTAGTAAAGTGCTCTGGGACTCTACCCCGTGTGAAGGCCGGCGTATACATGCAAGTTGTTGTTGTAAAGGTCGCTGCAATGGATTGATCGGATCAATATAGTGGATGTAGGAATAGACTTGTTAATGTGCGTGTGTCCATGTTGATTGTATTATATCCCTCTTTCCTCAAGATTAGTTGCGGTTAGCTGCTCCGTTCCCGAAACTCAGCTCTTTTCCCAAGCTCAATTCTTTTCCTCGAACCCAGAAGTCTCTGGTCACATATGCCAGTCTGTTCAACATCTGTGGTTGAAAACACCAGCTGCAAAACTGACAAACTTTATCTTGCCCTTTATTTGCCCTTGGTTATTTGCCCTCTGCTTACAGAGATTGCCAATTTGAGCTGAATTGAGGAGTTTTGTGTTGAGAGTCTATGGCCACTTGGAGCTGGGTTGAGATGGTTTGAGTTCATTTCACACAGGACCCTTACAGCTGATGGGCAAGAGAGACTATCATCTCATCAGGCTGGTGCCAGTTCTTGATCTTGAGTGTGCCACTGCAGGTGGGAGGGGGACTGAGCAAAGTTCGGGGCCTCATTGCGGCAAAATAGTAATGCCCTGTATAACTAATCATCACTAGAATCATAGAAATTTACAGCGCAGAAGGAGGCCATTCAGCCCATTCATTCTGCACCACCTCTCAGAGCCAGGTGTTCATTATCCCTCATACCTTTTCGTTAGGTGTCAGCCTGCTCAGCTGTGAGCCATTTTGGGACTTTGAACGCACATAATCTAGGCTGACGCGCCAATGCAGCGCTGGGTGTGTGCTGTATCATTGAAGGTGCCGTTCATTGGATGCATCGTTACACCGAGGTCCTGGATCCCGCAAATAAAATAGGTCATTAATTTCACAGCTGTTTGTGGGACATTGATGTGCATAAATTGACTACTGGGTTTACCTCTGCAGAATACACACACTTTCAATACACATTACGGTCAATCCAATGAAGTGCTTTGAGACTCCTGTTGTATATGAAATGCAAGGATTAGTATTATTATCTGACGCGGGTCAACAAATAAGAAAAATAGTCTGCCCATATGGTAAAATAAAGAGGACAAACTTAATTTGAAGGATAGGGTGGTGGTGCTGTGTGTGTGTCTGTGTGTGTGGCTGGGGGGAGGGGAAGTTATCACTTGTCAATTGTTGGAAGTTGTCATTACTTGTTCAAAATAAGATTGTTTTTAGTGGTCAGCGCATGTGGGATGCCATTGGCCTGCTTGAGACCAACAATAAAAGAGATTAATAAAAGAGAGGCAGGCAAACATGATTTGTGCACCAGGGGTACTATGAACAAATCCTTACAACGTGTAATGTGAGGGCATCCAAAGCCCTTTCTGTTGAGTTACATTTTAAGGGTTCAAAAGTTAAATGTAAGGTCAGCAAATGTATGCTGAAACAATCAAGAGGGGCTCATAACCATGCTGTTCATTTGGAAATGCTCAAAATGCTTTACTTCCAGGGAAGAAGGGAAAAGATGGGCATGCGAGAGGGACTTAGGAGGGTTGGCTACTCAGGTAGAAGAAAAACACTGACATAGATAAGTGGGTTGGATGGCCTGTATTGCAGTATATTTCCCCACTGTAACAATTCATGTAATTCCATGTAAAATATTGATCTCTTCCACCTTTGTCATCCCCTTGTCTGTTTTCCCAAGCTCAGGTTCCAACTAACTACGTGAAGCACTTTGGTGTGTCCTAGTGACATTAAAAGTGCTATATAAACGTGAAATGGTATTATAGACTTTATATAATGGCCTCTGGAACAATACTTTTCAAGGCCGAAAAGCCCTATTGTATCTAATCATTCCTCATAGTTTATCCCTCTGATCTGAAATCAGGGTTGTTGTTTTCCTTTGCATTGCCTGTAGGATTTGGTCATCCTTATGTCATGTTGACTTCAATATAGGCCTGCGTGTTATTTTGAACGTGGTTGTGATATGATGCATATACAGGTTAAGGATGTCAAAGAGACCTAATCATAGTGAAGAGAGAGAGAGAGGAGAGTGAGTCGGCAATTTTGATTGAGACTGGAGAGCAGTGAGAGCGATGTCCTCTGTAAAGCACTCCCTCAACCTTTTGCTGTAATAGGTATGTCATCTAATTCCTCAGATTCCTGTCACTTTAGCTCTGTCTTTTTTTTCCCGATTGTTTGTAATTTATATTTTCTGGAACACAAACCGAAAAGAAAACATATCATTGATCCACGTGGACTGAGAGTGAAGGTACTGGATTCATTTCCCAGTAGTATCAGGTGCTGACAGTATCACCATCCATGGTTGCACACTCAACCTTGCTAAGCCAGTCTGGAATCTTGGGGTCTTGTTTGACCATCAACTATCCTTTCTACCTCACATCTTCACCATGACCCGCTCTACCTTCCTCCACCTCCGCAACGTCACTCGGCTCCGACACTGTCTCGCACCACAGGCCGCCAAAACCCTCATACACGCCTTCATTACTTCGAGGCTCGACTACAGAAACTCACTGCTTGTCGGCCTCCCCAACTCCTCCCTCCTCCAGGGGCTGCAGATCATCCAGAACTCTGCAGCCCATGTCCTCTCCAGCACCAGGCTCCGTGATCCTATCACCATCCTCGCCCAACTCCACTGGCTTTCCATCACACAGAAGATACAGTTCAAGATCCTGGTCCTCACCTTCAAAGCCCTCCATGGTCTTGCTCCCCCCTACCTCTCCCACCTCCTAACCCCCTACCATCTTGCTCGCTCCCTCTGCTCAGCGGGCTCCAGCCTGCTTCACATCCCCCGCCTTGCACGCCCCACTATTGGCAGGTGGGCCTTCCACCACCCTGCCCCACCCTCTGGAACTCCATCCCCCAGTCCCTCCATCTCGCACCCTCCCTTGCCACCTTCAAGACCCACCTCAAAACACTCCTCTTCAATCATACTTTCGATCTCCCTGCTTACCCCCCTGCCCTACCCACTCCCCCATCCCGACCCTCAGTTCGGTCCTGAAACTCTGCCTGTCCAGTGCCTTGGGACGTCCTCCCGACGTGAAAGGCGCTTTACAAACATAATTTTGTTGTTGTATAGAACAGCACAACCGTGTACGCTCCTTCCTGTGCTAACATTGCAAAGGAAGCTGCAAAACATATAATAATAATAATAATAATAATAATCCTTGCATTTGATGTAGCGCTTTTCACGTCGGGAGGACGTCCCAGAGTGCTTCACAGAACACACTATAAAGTGAATTGACTGTATATTTGTGGGCGAACGCGGCAGCCAATTGCGCACAGCAATGTCCCACAAACAGTCGTAGATTGAATATGACCAATTTATTATTGTTTTTGGTTTTGGAGGGATTATTATTAGGCTCTGTGTGGAGTAAGGAAACTTGCCCAAGGTTTCACCCTCTGCCTGGCATGTAACCCAGGTCTCTCGCTTGCAAAGCGAGTGCTCTAACCACTGAGCTACAGGACTCCACAGAATGTGGAACAAAAATAATATGATTGAAATGCTAATAGCTTGAATGTGCCTTTAAATCAAAGCAAATAAAGTGTCCCAATGGATTCTTTTTGCATTGAATGGGAAGGTGGGAGGAACTGGCACAGTGCTGGGAAGGAAAAGGTAAGAGCGTAACCAAGTACTGGCAGGTTAGAAGCTGTAAATGAAGATCATAAGCAATCAATGCTTTTTGATAAAATGAATTATATTGTGAAAAGCAAAATTAAATGTAGTGTTTTGAAGTTCACGTTTGAAAAATAACTGGATGAATTCAAACATTTTCAAACTAGAATCATAGAAATTTACAGTGTAAGAGGAAGGAGGCCATTCGGCTCATCGAGTCTCAGAGCCTTCTGTTTGGAAACAAGCTTGTTTTGCAGTCACTTCCTGGATACAAGTATCTTCATTGTTAAACCTGACTGACACAGAGGCGTTGATAGATCAGCGGTTGCTTTTACCCGGTCCGCTTTTCAGAACCACCCTCGTCTCTTCCAGGTCTGCCTTTTCAGATTATGGAGACGTGTACATGCGACTGCCAGGTTGGTGATAGGCGAACTGGATGGACTGTGGTCTTCTTTCATCTCGCAATTCCTATGTGTTGATGTACAGCAAGGTACACTTTAGAAAATACAGCAACATTTCTTGCTTGAAGCTGTTCACAGCCGTTTCCAGTGTTGTAAAGTACAGCTGTAGTTTCTTCCAATACATTCAATTAAATTTAATGGAAACATTCAAATAAATTTGGCATTGCACTTTCTATAGAGCCGAACAACTATAACGTTTGGTTTATTGGTCCAGTAAGCATTTCTGTTTGTGTAGAACCATGTATGGGAACTTCTGAAACATGACTTTGAATAGTTTCTTTATTTTAATGTTTCCAAGTTTCCAAGTGCAATTTTAGTCCAAATGTATCACTTTACACAGGTTTAAAACTCACTTAAAAACAATCCTAATAAAAAAAAACTTGGATCCAGAACCCAGAACACAATTGTTCCACATCTAGATTCCTTCCCACTCATTTCAGTAACACTAGGGTGCGGAGGGAAATTGCCCTAAGGGGCTAGATTTCAGTTTTATCATCTGTTTGTCAGAATTCGATGTTGAGGGGTGTCAGGCCAGAAATTCCACCTAATCTCAGACTTAATCTTCGTTTTACATTTTATCTGAAAATTTAAGAATTGTGGAAAATTCGCAAATTCAGTCTCAATCTAGAAGCAGTTTCCTTTTTTAAGAACTGCAGAAAACGGCTTCCAAACAAAGTCAGAATTTAAGAATCTTCTGCAATTTTTTTTGCGTTTTTAATTTTCGTGACAAAATGATAATAATCCATATAATTGATATTGTGCCTTTCGCATTGGCAGGCCGGCTCAAAGTGCTTCATAAGAGATGCTTTTAGGTAGAGTGACTATATTTTGTGGACAGTCAAAGGGCCTTGATACATACAACAAGGTTGTGTGTATCCTTACAGAAGCAGGTTTAAAAAGAAAAAAAAATCACAAAGGTTGAAAACCTAAGATAAAACCACAAAACACTGGAAATCCACAGCAGAGAAAGATACCAAACACTTTGCGTATGTCTTTGATTGTTCAGCTCTGACAAAAGTGCACACTTGGTGTGTTAAACCAAGATGGCCTCTGTGTTAACTTGTCTTCCTTTGGATTAATGTAGCTTCTAGCTGTGGACCGAACTGCTGTGCATTTTCAGCATTCTTTGTCTTTACTTGTGGAAGGATGCATTCATGCAATGAGTCTGTCATAGTACTACCCGTGTTGTTGAGGAGTGTGTTTCAATCTTAACTTTCATAGGTGTAAAATGCATTTAATAAATATTCAGCACAATATGATAAAATCATTGTTTCAAATAATTACCATCTGGGAGAAAATATCTGTCCATATGTCACAAATTTTATTACTGTGAAAAATCATTTGAAATGTTGATGTTCTAGAATAAGTCAACTCGGAGAAATTCCATCCAGGTCTAGCCTAAATGTACTCAAGTTTCTTAGCATTTCAGAGGGGCCAGAATTTTGTAGATGTGCAGCCACCCTTTCATTGACTGTATACAGTTTCCCATGTGTTGGTATCGCCACCTGATCTGAGACTTTGTGCAGATTGTCACGAATGTGCTTGTGAGCTTTTGATTTGTTTTACTGCGAATGCTGCTGATCAACTTGTGCATTAATGCCGGTAACTGCGTCGCTTTGCTCTCTTAATCATTGTGCCACTAACTCCCTTTGCTCCTTTGGCTGACCCTCTATCTGTCCTTCAATCCTGCCTAAAAAGCTAACTCTTTGACCGTGCCTATGGTCACCGTCCCACTCCTCCCTCGTTTGGCGCCCAACTCTGTGTTGTGAAAAGCTCTAAAGCGTTATCCTACATGAAGGGTGCTATTTAAATGCAAATTAATGTTGTATCAGGCTCAATTACTTACACTGGACTTGATACAGTTGTGTACATCGCTAAATGTGAACGAAGGTTAATAGCCAAGAAACAGAAAAAGTGGGCAAAGGTTCAGGCTTCTGAAGAGCAATTTTAGAACAGAAGACAGAGTGTAATCAAGCAAGGAATGTGTTAAAGGAAATGTTTGAGAACAGTAAACTTTTATGAAATAGTTTACAATACAAATTTACATTCATCTTTCATTTCAGGAGGACATCCCAAGGTGCTTAACAGTACTGTTATTAATCAGGTAATGCAAAAACAGTAGAAACTGTGAAAGGATGAGATGAAATTGGCTGAAACATCTTCTTCATCCAAACTAATATTGCGATTAATAATGTAACTCTATAGTGGGCTCTGAATTCAACCTAGGTCTAGGCTTGTCGCAATCCAATTTTATTCGTTAAGAATTGGTACTCACAAAAACACAAAAAATCTGAAAAAAACAAACATAGATTTCCACTGAAAATGTTTTTAAAAAATTTAAAATTTATATCTGTGTCGAAGAAGGGAATCGTTGCAGAGTCACATCCAGTGTTCTTATCTTTTCCTGAATACATTGTTCCTCATATTTCTTTTAATTTCTGCTTGTAATCTTTTCCTTGTGTTTCGGTAAGATTCCTAAATACACTACTCTTGCTTCCCGGTAATCTCATGAATCTAGATGTAAAATTGAGATTGCTAATAAGGTGGTTTGTTCTCTCATCCTGGCGAGATGAAACCGTGCTGCGTAGAGAAATCTGCTGATAGGCAGGAATTTCACCATCACTTTCTCTAAGGCTGTAATTTCCCAGAATGGAAGAGTGGGTGAACATGATACTTTACGTTTTTTCACTAATTAGATTCAGTTTTTGCTCATGTTCATTGACCTTTCCCTGCACATGAGGATGAATTGAATCAGACCTATATCAGCTGGGATATCAAAAAAGACATGAAATCGATAATCAAGAGCTGCCCTGGTGTGAGAAATACATTTCTAGCAAATGTTGTTTGTGATTACGTGTCGACAAGGTGACAGTAACTGGTACGGCAAACAAGGTTTTCTCATAAGTTGCTCGGGCAAGGATGAGCACAGATCCTTACCATAAATCAAAGCAAAACCACACGTGACTGTCTCAATTTAGGAGGCATTATTGTAGTTTTAAAAGCAGAAATTTTACTTTTAAACATTCCTTTTCTTGGCAGGTTCTATGGGCTCCCTGTCTCTCAGCAGATCGAATACAAGTTCTTCACCTACAAATCCCTTTGCTCCTTTGTACCGATGTGATCTTGTCCAGCCTTACTGTTCTTCTCGCTCCTTCTGTTCGAATAATTCGAACCTGCTGTATGCCACCCATCTCACCTTTGGTGCACCCATGTTTCGGCCTCTGTGTTATGAAAAGCTCTAAAGCGTTATCCTACATGAAGGGTGCTATTTAAATGCAAATTTAAATAGCACCCCTCTGGAATTGTTGTGACTGTGCAATTGTAGACAAACACTTTCCTACAAATAGTCAGGATGTGAATGACCAATTTATCTCAAGGATTATTGGGCAGAAATGTCCTTATCTTTTCGAATTCCCATGGCATCTTTGACTTCAGACAGAATCTCAGTGTAATGTCTTGTTCAATAGGCCATCAATAATAGAATTGAGCACTTCTGCTTCAGATTTTTGCACAAGGGATATATAATCCACAGCTGTTCATACACTCTTCTCGTTCTGTCAACTTTTAGAACAAATTTGTTCCTCACTACTTTGTAGTTCCATCTTCCACACCAAACCCCCATGGGTTGGAGTGTAATTCCCAGTTTAATGATGAGTTATTGGGAACTTCTGCCATGGGTAACAATCTTTTGGAAATTGAACTGCATCTTCCTAAATGTATTTTACTTCAGCAAATAAGAGCTGTCGGCCAAAAGAACATATTGTTCCATTTGACTGGACCGAATTTCAAACTAGTATGAACAGAAACCATTTTCATATCTACTGAAGCAATAGTTCTAGTCTGCCAGAGAAAGTACGTTTGCATCAGTCATGTGATTAGTCTGAAATATAGATAATATCATATTGATCTTTGATCTTTGGACGTGAATCCTATATACAACAGAACTGTTGATGTGGATTTTTTTATTATAACATTAATAATCCTTGTATTTGGCGCAGCATCGTATTGCATTGTTGAAACATCTCCGAGTGCCTCACGGAATTTAATGTAAAGTGTAGTGACTGTGTATCTTTTTAGCAAATGTTGCAGCCAATTTGCGCACAGCAACATCTCACAAACAACAATGAAGTAAAGGAGCAATTTTACTTGGGGGATTGTTGGCCAGGACACCAGGAGTGAATCGACTGTGTATTTTGTGGACGAAACACGGCAGCTAATTGCGCACAGCAGTATCCCACAAACAGTCGTGAATTGAGTGAGCAAATTATTATGTTTCTTTTTTTTTTGAAGGGATCATTATCCCCAGAAAAGGGATCAACCAATCAACTAACAACCGGGCTCCTACTTACTGTTAGGTAAACAGAGGCGTATGGAGCAAGGAAACTTTCCTAACATTTTGCCCTGCCTGGGAATCAAACCCAGGACTTCTCGCTTGCAAGGCAAGTTCTGTAACCGATACGTTACAGGACTGCACGTTTAGGGTCAGCAGGACTTGCTCTCCTGGTTCTCTCCTCCTCTCTTCCTTCCTCCCACCCTCCCTTTTAAGCGCTTTGGGACGTCTAGAAGACGCGAAAAGCGCTATATCAAATGCAAGGATTATTATTATTATAAAGTGATCATTGAAAAGGCATTTATTTGCCTTTTAAAGGAATCTTGTTAGATGCATTAGCTTGGGATCAAAACTACTAACTGAATGTGTCGATCTGCTTCTCTTCTCGACAAGGAATTGTTTGACTTGTACTCTGAGGAAACATCTGAGAAAGGCAGACTTCATTTCCTTGGGGTTGCATATCTTGCACATTGAGCATCTGGAACAAAAGCTACTGTGGAAACTTTAAACCACTTGGATTCCTTGATTTGAATCTGATATCCCCCCCTCGAAAAATGACAGAGAGGGAAGTGAATAACTTAAAAGATAGGTCAAACATTACAGTTCCTTCTCTGGTCTTTCGAAAAGTTTTAAGACTTATGTTTGAAAACCCACAGATTTGTTTAAGAGCTAGTTATGTGCCCCTTGACACAAATTTCTATGGCATTCTACTGTAAATGAAGAATGAGTCTGCTCTGCTTGAGGAATCCAGGACAAGAGGCAAATCTTAACATTAAAGGTAAAGTTGTGAGAGTCCAGAGTTTTTTGTGTACAGTCATAAATCGATGAAACAACAAGCAGCCTCAGATGCAACAGAGTTGTTTCAGAGTTCATAAGAGTGATGAAATGCTTCAAGTTGAGGAAGGTATTGGAATACATATGGATAAAGAGGAATAAACTGAATTGCCAGAGACGTGATGGTAGAGCAGATTAAATGGGCCAAGTCACAGCCTTGTTCTTCTTATAACATAACATGTAGGAGCAGGAGTAGGCCATTTGGCCCTTCATGCCTGCCCCGCCATTCAATCATGGCTGATCTTCTAATCTAACTCCAGCTAATAACCTGACCCTGCCTTATCCCCATATCCCTTAATCCCTTTTGCTATAAGATATCTATCTATCTCAGTCTTGAATATCTTCAAGGACTGAGCATCAACAGCCCTTTGGGGTAGTGAGTTCCATACATTCACCACTCTTTGAGTGAAGAATTTCTTCCTCAACTCAGTGCGAAAGGGCTGGCCTCTGATTTTAAGGTTGTGACTCCTGGTTTTAGTTTCTCCAACCAGGGGAAACAATCTCCCACTATCTCCTCTATCATGCCCTTTGATGATCTAAAAGGTTTCTATAAGATCCCCTCTAATTCTTCTATATTCTAGAGAATAAATTGGTCAGCCTATCCTCGTAACTCATCCACTTCATCCCTGGTACTAACCTAGTAAATCTACGCTGCACCCCCTCCAAGGCAAGTACATACTTCCTTAAATAAGAAAAACAAAATTGCACACAGTATTCCAGGTGTGGTCTCACCAGGGCCCTATACAGTTGCAGCAAGACTTCCCTACTCTTATACTCTAATCCTTTCATAATGAATGCTAACATACCGTTCGCCTTCCTAATTGCTGCACCTGCAGACTAACTTTCTGTGATTGGTGTACAAGGACACCCAAGTCCCTCTGGACGCCAACACATTCCAATCTCTCCCCTTCTAAAAAATAACCCGCTCTACTGTTTTTGCTACCCAGGTGGATGACTTCGCACTTCCCTACATTATACTTCATCTGCCACCTACCTGCCCAATCACCTAACCTATCTATGTCGCGCTGCATTTTTTTAATGTCATCCTCTGTGTTGACACTTCCTCCTAGTTTTGTGTAATCCGAATTTAGATATATTAACTTTGATGTCCTCATCTAGATCGTTGATGTAGATGGTAAATAGCTGAGGCCCAAGGACTGATTCTTGTGGCACTCCACTAGTCACATCCCGCCAATCTGAAAAGGACCCATTTATCCCTACTCTTTGTTTCCTACCCGTTAACCATTCTCCAATCCACGTTAATATGCTCCCCCCACTTCCTCCCAATTTGGACTAACATTTTATGCGGCACCTTGTCGAATGCCTTCTGGAAGTCCAAATAGACCACATCCACTGATTCACCCTTATCTAGTTTACTGGAAATATCCTCAAAAAACTCTATGAGATTTGTCAAACATGACTTCCCTTTTGTAAAGCCATGTTGACTTGGCCTAATTATATTGTGCTCCCCTAAATACCGCACTACCACATCCCTAATCAATGATTCTAAAAATTTTCCTATCACTGAATGTTTCAATCCCCCATCGGGCCTTGGAATCACATAATCTAAGCTGACACTCCAATGCAGTTTTAGGAAGGGGGCGGTGGGTGGTGTTGGATTGTCAGTGGTGGCGTTGTTCGGACGAGAAGTTAAACCGAGGTCCCATCTGCCATTTCAGGTGGATGTTTGAGGGCCAATGGCACTATTCAAAAAGAGAATGATGTTACTCTCTTTCCCGGAGTTCTGGCCAACAATCCCCCAACTAAAAACAAATCCTGCAGTTTAGCAGTTAGAGCACTCGCCTCACAAACGAGAGGACGTGGGTTTGATTCCCGCCAGGGCAAAACTTTGGGCAAGTTTCCTTACTCCACACACCTTGGTTTACCTAGCACTAAGTAGGAACCCGGATTTTAGTCGATTGGCGGATCGCTTTTCCGCGGGTAATAATTCTTTCAAAATAAATAAAAATAATTTGGTGACTCAATTCAGGACCGTTTTTTGGGAACTGCTGTGCGCAATTGGCTGTCACATCTCTCCCACAAAATACACAGTCAATTCACTTTACAATATATTCTGTGAAGCGCTTTGGGATGTCTCGAAGACGTGATAAGGCGCTATGTCAAATGCAAGGATTATTACATTATAAGTGCTTTGAGGCCTCTCAGCAACATGGTAAGATGCTATATCACATGCAAGGATTATTATTTCATTGTTATTATCTCAGTAAATGGCACCCTGGTCATGAGGTTGTGGATTCAATCACGTGCGGTGACAAATGTTCAACCAAGGTCCCATCTCTGTTCGGGGTGGATGTTCGATAGCTCGTGGCACCAGTTAAAAAGAGAAGGGAGTTTCTTTTGGTGACCTGCACAACAATTCTCTGGATAAATTGGATATTAAATTCATGGCTACTTGTGGAACGTTACTGTGGGAGATTGGTTGCCAGGTCAACCGATGAGTATACAGTCACTACACTTGACAGCAATCACAACGAAGTGTTTTAAAAACATTATTGGTGTAATATCAAAAACAAGAATTATTATTATTCTAAAATATTTTGTCTGTGTTCACTACCTCACAGACTGATATTTTGCATAGTGTTCCTGTTACGCGTTCTTGATTAACACAATAAATGTCATCAAAAGGCCACTGGACATCAATTTGTCAATCTCCCGGTAAGGTGAGCAACGTGAAATTGCAGAGCCTAAAACTGTAGTCATCTGTGCTTAATAATCCTTGCATTTAATATAGCGCTTTTCACGTCTTCTAGACGTCTCAAAGCGCTTCACAGAATAGACTATAAAGTGAATTGACTGTTTAAATTATATAAGTTTTACACTCTGCGGTCAGACACTTAGTGATAGAAGGGGATGTCGGGAGGAGGGCAGAAGGGGAGACGCCAGCTGAACGGCTGCCGACATTTCTGAATGCCTTGTCCATTATC